TAAGACTCAGGCCCAGGGAGATCAAGCAGACATTTTGTCGGCAAGCAGACAGTCGGTCGACATTTGAAGGGTGTGCCAAGGGCCTGGCGTGATTCCTGGCATGCACTTGATCGTCTCATTTGTTACTTGATCTTGAACTGTCAGTGAATGGGGTGATTCTAGGAGATGAAGGGGGTTTTGGCCACTTTCCCAGCTTTCTGGGAATAGGATGCAAGAGAGAAGGCAAGACCTGCCCACCTTTTAAAAAGGACATAAGGGACGAAGTCTGGCTGTTGGAGGGTCTGAAGGGCTCCTCAGCGGGGAGGGGGGTTGAGCTGCCCATGGAGTTCCCATTCCTCCCACACGGTGAGCCGTCCTCAACCACTAGTCTCCAAAGAGGCTACTGGCCTTTAGGGGAAGACAGTGACGGGGGCTTCTGTGGGTTCTGGAATAGTGTTGCTCTAGGACAATGTCATCACCTCATGGTTAGGGTAAATCTCCTGTCAGGGGTCTTCCAGTTTCGGAGGACACCATGGGGTGAGAGGGGCTGGCAGGCCTTTGAGGAGAAAGCAGAAATGCAGCATGGTTAGGACTGAAACTACATCTGCGGACAAGCATTTTTCAGACTGTGGGTTTTGACACATTAGAAGGTCAAGAAGTCAATTCAGGGCGCCTGGGTGGCTCAGTGGGTTAAGCCGCTGCCTTCGGCTCAGGTCATGATCTCAGGGTCCTGGGATCGAGTCCCGCATCGGGCTCTCTGCTCCACAGGGAGCCTGCTTCTCTCTCTCTGCCTGCCTGCCTCTCTGTCTACTTGTGATCTCTCTCTGTCAAATAAATAATAAAAAAAATAAAATAAAATCTTTAAAAAAGAAGTCAATTTAGTGGGTTGCGACCAAAGTGTTTAGAATTCAGCAGGAAATAGCAGAGAGCATTGTATATAGTAAGTGCCCTTTCACTAAATGTGTATTTCTTACATATCTGTGTGAGTGAATTTTTTTAAGACTTTATTTGACAGAGATCACAAGTAGATAGAGAGGTGGGGGAAGCAGTCTCCCTGCTGAGCAGAAAGCTTGATGCGGGTCTCAATCCCAAGACCCTAAGATCATGACCTGAGGCGAAGGCAGAGGCTTAACCCACTGAGCCACCCAGGCGCCCGTGTGTGAATTTTTTTTTTTTTTTTTTTTTTGAAAAATTTGAAAGCTGCTGCTCTTGAAAGAATGGGTGACATCATGAAGGGTCATCCCTCTGGAAGGGCAGGAGGCCAAGACCCAACCCAGGGAGGTAATCAGACTCTCCTTGGTTCTGGGGGTTAAAGCACTGGGTTTGGGTTCAGGAAGAGCTGGATTCAAGTCCTGACTCTGCATCGTAGTAATTGTAGGATACTGGACCTATGAGCAATGCTGGCAGCTACCTCACTGATGCCAGTCGTCACTGGGGGTGGGGGGGCACAGCGGGGAGTTGGCATCCCACAGTTAGCGGTGTTGCTCTCCAGGATCCGGGATGATGTGGCTTCTCTTAGGTCCTTGGGGCAGCAGCAGCCAGAGGGGCTCCTGTTCCCACCCCTCCTCTCTCAGGCCCTGCTCGTAAAGCTGCCCGCCAGTTATAAGCCTGAGATTCGCATCTCCGCCCCATCCATCCCCGCCCCTTCCACGGTGCCGGTGAGAAATAATGAGACAGCAGCCTGTAGAAAGGAGATCCAGGAGAGGAAAAAGAAAGAAGTTTTATTTAAGCCCCAAACACTCGGCTAGAAAAACTGGAAAGGAAAGAGAGCGGAGAAGTGAGAAGAAAAAGGACATTAAAAAAGAGAGACAGAAAACACAGCAACCCTTTTCCATTTAGAAATTGTCAAGTTACACTGACAGAGGTCACAGAATATCCACAGAAGCCATCACTGCTACACCAACACAGGCCCTACGGGGTGGACGGGGCGGGGTGTGGAGACAGGGCTCAGCCCTGGGGGGACCCCACCAGGGCCCCCTCTCAGAGCCTTGGACCCGGAGGCTCCTGGGGAAACAGCATATTGTGGAAGGGGCGGGAGAGGAACCCCCCATGCGAGTAACACAGCACAGTGGGCAGGGGCGGGGGGACCAGGTACAGGGATCCCCCCGACGTCTTAGTTTTCTTTTGGTCAAGCACACACTGATGGACAGAGCAGCGAGGCGCATGCAGCTGGGGGGGGGGGGGCGGGGGCAGTGACGTGCTGCGGGCTTTGGGAGGGCCGGGGCCTCGGGAGGGGCGCCAAAGCGAGGGGTGCAGGGTCGATGGAACACACACGCAGGCACTCCCACACGCATGGGTCTACACAACTGTGCACACGCACACGCCCACACATACAGATCGCATGCACCTCTACGTACAGTCCTCTGTCGGCGCATATGTGGCCCGCACGCATACAAGCCACGCGCAGCCACGCATGTCTGCACACACACACACACACACACACACACACACACACTCACACACACACTACACACCTTCTCATGCACCAGCATGCAGGTGGGCGCGTGCTGAAGCCCCAGCAGGGAACATGCACCGAGTGCGCACGCCTCCCTGCACACACGTGTCTTAGGTCACACCTGTGCACACACACGCTTCCCTGTGTGCACGGGCAAGTGAGCGCACGTGCGTGCGCGCACACACACACACACACACACACACACAGGCTGCACACAAACGCCTCTCAGCCCAGAAATGGGCTGAAACCAAAGGGAAAGAAAGATGCAAGTCCCACTGGGCGCTCTGTGAGCAGGTGGAGCGGGGCCCACGGCTCCCTCCGTCTGCCCCTCGTGGACGGACACCTCCTCCTCCCCCCACAAAGGGACATTCAACTCAGGACAAAGACGGTGGGGCACACATTCAGGTCACAGGGGCTCCGGGTGGGGGCAAGCGAAAAGTAGCAAGCAAAGAGTAATGGAGTGGAGGGAGGAGGGGGCACCACTCCCCCCGCCCCTCCCAGTCGGGGGGTCTCTGTACAGCCAAATCAAACCAAACCATTTCACTGGACCACGGAAGCCAGGCCGATGTGCCCATCCTCCAGCCCCCCCTCCCCCGCCAAAACAGCGGCCAGGGAGGGAGCGCCGCGGTTTTCTTTTTTTTTTTTTCTTTTTTAAATATTTATATATATTTATATTACGTATATTATATATATATATATAATATGTAAATATATTTTTAAAACAATATAAAATGTTAAGACACTTCACTTAAATGTAAAGAGTTGCCTGCAATTAAAAGTAATTGCATCATTGATGAGGTCCTTTTTTTTTTTTTTTTCCTTTTTTCCAAGGGTTTTTTTTTTTTTTTTTTTTCCAGGAGGGAATTTTTTTTTTCCTCTTCTTTTGTTATTTTTCAAAAAGGCCTGCTTGCCTTTGTACAAAAATGATCCAAAGCTAGAAAACAAGGATGAACCAACGAAAATGAAACAAAACAAAAAGAAAATGAAGAAACACAACCCCAGTCTCCCTTCCCTCCCCAGCCCTCAATGGCTCCCCAGGCTCTCCCCAGACACTGACCTTCCAGCCAGGCCCCAGGGACTAGGAGGGTCTGCCCCTTCAATGGCTCCTTCTTTCTGTGCTTATGCAGGGAGATTACTCCCCAGCCCTCCCCTGTGCTTACCCAGCTTTGTGCTCCAAATAGGAATCCTGCTCCCCAGGGGCCCTGCTCTATCTGCCACCTCCTCCCCCACCCACATAACCCCCCTCCCCACCTGCCGGCCCCTCATTGTGCCCTCTGGGGGGCCTGGGGTTGAGAATCAAAATTTGTTCTTCATCCCCTTCTCAGGACCTTCTCAAAAGCCTCCTTGGCTCAGCCTCTGCAAGGCAGTCTCCCACAGCCCAGGTCTAGGGTAGTTGGCTGCATGGTCAGGCCTCAGGGACCCTCAGGGATCTCACCGGGGGTCACCAGTACCCCATTTAAAATTCATCTCACCCCCTTACCTGAATACCCTCAAATCTCAAAGAGGATGGTTAAAGGTCAAGTTGCTTGACCTTTGGGTCAGAGCTGCCCTCGCTGCCCCCCCCATCAGCCCCTCTCTATCCCCCCCACTTCCCTCACCACCAGACCCTTCCCACCCTCCAGGCCCCCAAATCTAGTTTTCTAGGCCCTTCATTCTTGCCCACCCTACCCCCATTAAATAAGTTAATGTCATTTAAAGTGCTAAATTAGGAAACCAAAAGTACCAAATAGCCCTCCTCAGGGCTGCCCTCTTTTAGGGCAGTGACCCCAGGGTCAGGCTGGCCGCTCAACCTGCCGCCACCCACAACCCACCATCCAGAAGGGCCCGCTCCTTGCTCGGCACAGGCCTGGCGGCTCCTCACCACAAGAAGGGAGTCCCAGGAAGCCAACTCCTTTCCAGGACACACAGATTCAAAGGCCTCATGCCTGCCCCCAGCCGCCCCCCCTCCCCAAACCCTGGCCTCCTTCCGCAGCCCATCCATCTTGACTCCAGGCCCACAGAGGCATGAGCAGCAGGGAGCAGAGCAACAGAGTTCAGTCACAGCGAGGTTGGGCCGCTCCAGACCCAGAGTCTCCCTGCCAGGCCGATAGCCAGGTTGCTCCAACGTCCAGAGTTTCCTCCAGGAAGGTTTCCGAGGAAGGGGAGGGGGTGTCTCACCGCTCCAAGTCTCCGTGGCTCAGAGTTTGTTCGGAGTGCTCTCAGGAAAGGACCTTAGGGTTCAGGGGCCTTAGGATGGATGTGGGAAGAAGCATGGGTGAAGAGAAAAGGGAAGGAGGATGACAGGAGATGGACCATTTTGGAACAGGAAAACAAGGGAAGGTGGTGTGTTTTGGTTTTTAGTTTTACTGTTTTGCTTTAAAAAAAAATAATTAAAAGTGAATCATTTAAAAAAACCAAAAACACCAACAAGAGATGGGTGTAGAGAGCTGAGGAGGGCCACACCTGTGGCAAACCCTTCCGAGGACCCAGATAATAGGGTAGGGGTAGGGTAGAGATGAAGGGAAGAAGAGCAGGGAGAGAAATGGCAGGGGGGGGGGCAGGCTGAGATGGAGGTGGGAGGGGGCTTCTAGAAGGAGATGGAAGAATTCCTCGCCCCAAAGGAAGTCAATACAGGGATAGAGGTTCTGGAAGCCGAGGGCTTTTCTGAGACTGGGCTTGAGGTCTCATTTGACCCGCTCATCTCTTTAGATGGTTTAGTGGCCTGGAACAAAAACAGGGGTCAGGGGTCAGCGAGAGGCTGGGAGATCCTTCATGCTGGCCCCTGGCTAAAGTTTTAATGAAAAACCTCCACAAACCCAAGAGAAAATTAACTGCAAAAGGAAGAAGCCACAGGGGCATCTGGAGAGAGGGATCCCCTGAGATGGAGAGGAGGAGGCCACAGTGGGGGGGTGCAGAATGGGGTGAGGGGAGGGTATTGGGTTGGACCCAAAGGCTTAGGGACAGGGCTTACTGACAGGAAAGAGAGCAGGTGGAGGAGAGAGACCAGAGAAGCACAGGGAAGGCCACACCCAGGAAAGGTGGACAGGGAGATGGGAATGGGGAGGACGAGGGAGGAAGAAGTGAGAGGTTAGCTGCCTCAGGAGTGCGGGGCATAGAGTGGTCCCAGCTGGGAACAGGTGGGCTCTTAGTCTCAACTGGCCAGAAGCCCAGCCAGGGCCTCTTCTGACCTCTACAGGAGGCTGATCCTAAGCAGGAGGTCTTATGGGGACAATGTGGGGCAAGTTGGCGTTCCCAGGGGAGCACTTCTCTAAAGAACGCCCCCAACCCCATTCCACCCCCAAGCTGGAGGAAAAGGCACTCACTGCATCCAGCCTCTGGCCCAAGGCAGGAAGCCCGACTGCATCCTCTACAAGGGTTCTCCCAGCTTCCAGCTGCTCCTTGTGGGTTGTGGGTAATGGTGGGTAATGAGGGAGGTCACTCCATGATGCACCCCGCCCTCTCCCAGCAGCTCTGCTAGTTAGAAATTAAGCCTCGCCTCCTCCCACCCCTAGCTGACTCTCTGTGGCTAGATAGGTTCTGGATGTCTCCATGGGTCCAGAGCCACCTGCATCACCTTGAGAGGAGGGAATATCACAAATGCAGATTCCAGGGCCCTGCTTCTGAATCTCTCTCTGGCTCAGGCTCCAGAATCTACATTGCGGGCAGGCACCCTAGGTGACCCTGCTGCACACTTCACTTTGAGTGCCACTGGGATGGGGCTACACAGATGGGGTTTCTCTCTGTCCTATTCACTGTTCCCCCCTCCTCCCCTCCCCACCTTGCATAGCTACTAGTGGGATAACCAACGGATGGGTCTTGATAAAAAAAAGAATGGAAGGAAGGGGGAGGGCTGGAAACTGCCCTGCCGCCCATCCCGCCACCTCCCGCAGCAGCTTTGGTCTGGGCAGGGTAGCCCCACATCCCACCACCCAGTTAGCCCCCCGCTGCTGGGTGGGCTCTATCACAGTGGGGAAGGCACGTGGTGCCTCCTCCAGCAGCCAGCGAGGGCAACAAGGAGACCTCAGGCAGCCTGACTGGCTGACCATGAACTCGCCCTTGCTGTTGATGGCCCCCATGCCGTCTTCCACGTGGACAGTAATTCATCTGGGTTGCACTCCTCACGCCTTCAGCGCAGTCTACCTTTTCCCTTTATGAAAATTAAGGCAAGAATTTCCCCATTTGGGTCTTGTAACCCTTTCCCTTTCCTGTAGCTGTTTATTTAGACTCACAGAGGCTCCAGGGCCACACCCACAAGATCCTAAGTTTCACTGGGTCCTTTGCCCAAGGGGCCTGTGTCAGGCCTGGCTCCTGGTCTCCAGGGGTTCCAGTACTGGGACCCAGGGACAGCCTCACGCCTTCTTACTCCCACTTCCGGTCACTAGGTCACTAGCCCTGAGCTCAGGGCCTGCCCCTCCTCTCCCAGCCTTTCCCATTCAGAGTTCTTGATCCCAAAGGCAGGCGGGGAGGCCCCTGCTTGTCTCCTCACATCTTACAGCGTCCCAAGCCAAGCCGGCTGCTGATTCCCTCCTGGCCGTCCTCTTTGTTCTTGACCCATCTCTCTAGTTAAAAGCTTTTTCTCTTCCTCCCTTTTAGCTTTTGTCAAGAGGCCTGGTCTATTCTGAGCTTTGGTCTTTGGAACGCCTGCCTTCCAGCCTGTGCCACCACCTGACTCCTGCATTTGCTCGGGTGACACGTCCTCACCCAGGTGATGGCCCCTTTCTCCCCCAGCCAGCGCAAGGCCTGTCCACAGGAGCCATGGCAGTGGTCAGTGGCCTGCGTGGACACGCACCCCTGCTCCTTCATGGAGACCCGGACGGCTTGGGGCTGCTCTGCGAGCACCTGTTTGCCCTCTCAGCTGCCTTCCCTCCCCGGAGACCAGCCGCGGAGACCCGTAAGGCACTCCTCCGGAAGCGGAGGGAGCACATGCCCGTCGCGCCCCATGCCCTGTCCCGGGCTGCGGAGGTTCTCTGGTAACACAGCTCCTGTCACTTCACCTCACCCACTAGCCCTGTCCCGCCACTCCCAACTACATCTGGAGAAGCAGGATGCTGTCACCTGCAACTTCCAGCCAGGGGAGACTGGGAAGGTTAGCGGGACCTAGCTGGCTGAGCCCCGCACCCCTACCCTTCCTGCAGGTCAGCGTCTGGTAGGGGCTCAGCGCCCCTCCACGCTGTGACACAGATCTCCGCACAGGGACAGGTCACCTTGTTGAGGCAGACCCTGCTGGCGCCCATTCCAGGCCATTCCCAGTGCCGCTTCCTCTGCTGCCCGCAAGCCCTCCTTCCAGAGGAAATCCTGCCTGAATTAAGTCCTGGTCTATCAGGAGAGGTCGGCCTTTCCCCAGCACAAGGAGGGTAGGTCCCGAGCAATTCACCCAATTCGAGCAATTCCATTCTCCTTGCCAGTGACCGATTCAGGAACGGCAATGGGAAGACAGGGAAGGGATTAGGGATTTCTGGGAAAGGTTCTCCTGCTCGTGACCCGGTTTGTGGGCCTGGGACCCCCCAGGGGAATGAAGGCAGCCATGCAGGGGGGGGCGGGCAGGATGACGGGACAGCAGGACCCTCTGAGGAAATGCCCCAGGGGTGCAACAGATTTGCTAGCCACAGTAGAAGAGGAGGGGTCCATGGTTTCCCATCTGCAGGCCCTGATGCTGGCCCCCCTGGGAATCTGGCCACTATCCTTCCCCTGGATCTCAAGCATGACCTCCATGGGCTTTCTCAATGATTTCCCCTGATGTCTCTGTAGTATACAGCACTGTTGCAGCCGCATCTCGGAACCCTCCCCCCCACCACCGCCCCCATTTTGGTGTCTCTGGTCCTGGCACTTTTATTCTCCTTCCCCTCATCCTGGTCAAAGGCAGCTCTGAGCCCCAAGTATTAGAACCCCGTGATGAGAGAACGGCCTCTGCCCAGCCCTCAGCTCTGACAAGTGTACAAACGGACAATGACGGGGACTGTCCTTCATAAGGCCCTTGGGGGCTTTCCCAGTTCCTTCCCACACCTGGTATGATGGGACCTCAGAAACCTGCTGCTGGGGGGCCTGGGTGGCTCAGTGGGTTAAAGCCTCTGCCTTCGGCTCAGGTCATGATCCCAGAGTCCTGGGATCGAGCCCTGCATCAGGCTCTCTGCTCGGGGGGGAGCCTGCTTCCCCCTCTCTCTGCCTGCCTCTCTGCCTACTTGTGATCTCTCTCTGTCAAATAAATAAATAAAATCTTAAAAAAAAAAAAAAAAAAGGAAAAAGAAAAAAAAATGCTGCTGTGTTCTTGTCTCCATTTTATAGATGAGGGAAGAGCCAGCAGAAGGCAGAGGACTTCGACCAAGTTCACAGCCTGAGCTAATAGGGAGCGTGGTCCAGGCCCGGAGGACAGAGGGCCAGGTGTCCCAGAGTGGCTGGAGCAAACTGAGAGTGTGGGGCACCAGGAGAACCAGGATGAAGGAACCCAGGATGGTCACGGAAGTGCCCTGGGAAGCAGGGGCAGGATTTCTGATTTTCTCAGCTGGCAGGGAGCAGTGGGCCTGGGTTCGAAGTTGGGGGAATGACATCATCAAAATCTGCAATTAACACACACCTGTCCCCAGCCCCCAGGTCTGGGAAAATACATTAGAGGTGACAGAAGTGACAGGGAGACCCTAGAAGGACATGCATTTAGGTAATGAGGCATAGGATGATTTTTATCCCGGCTTCTTTAAGAAATGTCCATGGGGAACATCTATTACTTTGTTAGGGAGAAGGTGCTTGGTAAAGAAAGGCTAACAGAAAGGGAAAGCGAGAGGCAAGGACAGGCCTGTGGCCCTGGGGAGGGAGACTCCCCAGTGTGGGAGGATACCCCGGGGGGGGGGCGGTGGGTGACATTTTCTCAGGGGCAGGCTTGTGCTCAGAACAGAGCCCCAGGCAGGGACAGATGGCACCTGGTGCCCCAGGAGAGGAGTGTGTGGTATGAAAAGCAAAGAGGCCCAAGAGGAAGCAGGGCCCAGCGAGGCGAGGAGGCGTGCAGAGGACAGACACCCAGTGAGGAGTCAGGGGGTCAGGGTGAGGGCTGGCCACGGAGGAGAGGAATGGAGGGCCTATACAGCACCCCTGTGAGCATGTGTGTGTGCAAGTGTGTGTGGGAGGGCGCCTGCGGGGTGGGGGGAGGGCTAGCCCGATACTGGGAGGGAAGAGGGAAGGCCGAGCAGGCTGGGGACTGAAAGGAGGGGAGGGCATGGAGGCCACAGAGGTGACAGAGGTGACAGAAGAGCCGGAGAGAGGCTCTGGGTGCCCCAGGCTGGGGAGTCCGGGGGGAGAGATGGCAGTGCAGTTACAGCTGGGGAGGCTGAAGGCAAGGCGTGTGTGTGTTGTGGGGGGATCAGGTAGTCTGGACGCCAATCCTGCTGCATGACCATAGCTAAAGCCTCAGTTTCCCCCTCTACTATGTGGGGATCAGAAGGACCTTCCTCAGAGTGGTGTGGAGAACGGGGAACGTATGTGTCTGCTCAGGGAGCACCCCACGCGCAGCCCCTGCTGTTCTGGACACGAAGGACGGACATAGGACGAGGGGAACTCAGGCACTGTGCAGGCAGGATGAGGAGCTGGGGGTGCAATTTGCACGGTGTGTCTGGGGACCCATGAGGAAATTGGTGGGCCAGCAGGGAGCTGGGGAGGAGAGCTTGTCAGGGGTGGGTGGGGCCAGGATGGCCCATCTCCACTGGTCCCTCCAGGGAACCAGCAGCCCAGGGCTGTCACAGGGCCATGGGGTGGGAAGGGCTTTGTGATTCCCCCGGTCCTGTCCTGGTTCTGATGCCACCTTGCTGTGTGCCCTCAGGAAGCCCCTTTCCTTCTCTGAGCTGTCCTCTCATCTGTAAAGAAAGGAGCCTGACTTGCCATCACTAATCTCCTGCCTTGGAGCCTAGAACCTTCTTCAGGTCACAGCATCTGGACATTTCACGGTACCCACTCCCACCCCAGCACCCACGACAGGCCTGGCACGTAGGAGCTGCTTAGAAACACTTACTGAAGCAAATGAGTGCACGAAGTTCTCTCTTGGTATCTAGGTCCAGGGACCACCCCGGACTTCCTGACCAGGCCACAGAGTGGATCACAGGACAGAAACACTCAAGGGTGAGGTTGTCCATTCTACACTGGCCCCAAGCCGGCTGACTACATCTGACAGAGGGCACAGCACCCCTGCCTCCCCACCAGGGGGCCATGGTACTTCTCCCTCTCCCCGTTGAGAACAGTGGAAGCCACCAAAGCCCAAACACTGAAAAGCAGATGCAAAATTGGTTTCTCCCTCAGGTGGGAGATAGCCTGAGAGCCAAGAGGGAGGACTGATGATAGTGGGGTGCCCTCGCCCCCCCCAGTCCCCCTTCCACCCCATGGCAGGGACCTGAGAGCCAGGGAGAGGAAGCAGAGCAGAGGCAGGAAGACAAAGGGACATCGAAGCCTCCTCCCACACCCCAGGCCAGGGTGGGACGAGTCTGCTGCCTCCCCCTCTTCCAGCAACGGCTGGGGAGAGGCCTTTCTCCACCAGGTGAGGGTTTCCCAAAAGGGGAGTGGCCTGATTGGATATATTCTAAACAAGATGCAGGGTGCTGAGGGTTAGCAGGAGGAGGGAAAAGATGGCTCAGGGGACCAATGGGGCCGTCCCGGCAGGGAGGAGGTCTCTGGGCGGCTGGCATGGGGGTGGCCACAGGAGTGTCGACAAGGAGCCGCCCGGCACACAGCCCACACAGCCCGAGCACACCGTCCCACAGGGAAAGGGGAGGGGCCAGGAGGGGCCGAGCCCCGCCCCCCACGGGGCCACGCCTACCTGCTGCTGAGCCTGGATCCTCATGTACTCCGCCCTCTGCTTGCCGTGCTTGCCCTTGTCTGGGCTGCCCGCCTGGCCCTGCACTGCCTTCAGCCGAGAGGCCCCCGGAGTCACCACCTTCATGGGCGGCACGCTGCCACCACCGCTCTGCAGGAAAAGGAACAGGGTGGGGGTTGGACGTGGGATCACACAGGAATCCTAGGCCCTGGGTGGGGCTATCTGGGGCTTGGACCGCCTGGGTGGGTCCTTTGAGACCTGGAGACCCTCAGACCTCCCTGCCTCCATATCCCTGGCCAGGACGCAGGTCCACTCTTCCAGGCCAGGATTCAGGCCTCCCTGCAGAAGAGGGGGGCAGGGACCCCCAGCCACGTTCCCAGCAGCTCCCCAGCCAGAGCTCTTTGGTGGTTTCCTTGAGCAGCCCAGGGTAGCAGGCACCCTCCTGAGGGAGCCACTTCTGAAGTGAGAGTCACTGCCATCACCCCTCCTCCTGGCAAGGGACCCTTTTCTGGGTGTCCCAGAGCAAGACTGAGATTTGCAGGGGGATCTCTGTGATGGCAGACGGGGTGGGACCCACATCTTCCTCTGAAAGGGAGGATGGGGGGGGAGTCTCCCTAGAGATGAACAAGTCCAGCTCCTCTGAACCATCCCAGGTACCACCCTACCCAGGACGACACTGGGGGTTCAGAGGCGCAGAGAAACAACAGAGGCACAGAGTGTCTGACAGGAGAGGGGGAAGGGAACGCGGGGATGGAAAAGGAGGAGAGAACTTTATTTGTTGGTTTATAGATACAGAGCAGAGGGGAGAGGACCTGGTCCCTGCCAGGGTTGCTTGGGCCGGTCCCTGGGTAGGCCGGCTTCCCAGCCTCCCGGGGCTCTGGCTGCAAACCCCACCCAGCGCAGGGCTCCCAGAAGGCTGGCGGGAACTGAGAAAAGGCCAGTGGGAGGAGGGGGCTGGCGTGATGCTCCTGCAGCCCCCCACTCCCTCCAGCTCTGAGGACCAAGAGATCAGAGCATGAAGGCAGGAGGAGAGGCTAGGGGAGGAGGCAGCCACCTGGGGACCGGGTGGCAGGGGTGGGGGGCTGCCGGGGGGCCCCACGGCGAGGGCAGTGCCCATCTGGCTCAGGGCGGCTTCTAGCTCCCGGAGAGTCTCCTCCAGGCTGTCCATCCGCTGGGTGGGGGCGCCTCTCACTGTGCAGCCTGGACCTGCAGCAGGCTGGCCCCTGGGCTCCCCACTGCCGGCTTGGGCATCCTGTCTGGTGTCCTTGGGGGTCTTCTCAGGCTGGGTGTCAGCAGTAGAGAGCTCCTGAGTCCCGTCAAGGGCTGGTCCCCAAGGGCAGGGAGCCCCAGCTCCTCCTTCCACTGGGCTGCAGCTCTCTATCCCCCATCTCTTCAGAACTGTCCCTTCCTTCTCAGGTGGCAAGGGGCTCCTGGGCTGGGAAGCTTTGGCCACAACCTCTGGCAGGGCCTGGGCACCATCGCAGCCTCTCCCGCTGCCAGCCAGGGTCCGGGGGTGCGGGGTGGGAGTTGTCCTGGGACCAGCTTCCTCAGGCCTGGCCTCTGGTGGGGAGGGAGGGTTTGGGGTACACTCTGTCAAGATGATCCGGGGGATACAAAAGGCCCTGGGGCTTGGGGCAGCCTGCGGGGAGAAGAGAGATGAGGGAGAGTCTGATTCCTGCAGACCGAACGCCCTGAGCTGGGATGGGAAGTTAGACTCGGGTGAGCCCAGCCCCTTCCTGCACCGATGGAGAAACCGAGGCAAGGGAGGGCGGTGACTGAGTTTACTCAGCAAATCAGAGACAAAGCTGGGACTAGAACTCAGGGCTCTTCCTACCCCACACACCGGGCCCCCACTTTCTGGCAGAGACGCTGGTTTCCCCAGAAGCACAGACACCAGTCTGCCTCTCACTGCCCGTGTTAAACTCTGGGAGCAGGCCCACGGGCACTGCCAGGACTCTGGCCACCTGTGCAAGGAGGTTATAATAGCATGGAGGTGGTGGAGAACTCAGTGCGCTCACGTGTGCGTGGGCTTAGAATAGCGCCCGGCCCGTTGTGAGCACACGACCAATATTAGCTCTTTGTCAAATGCACCTGAGCAGTCTCTGGCCTCAGAGGCTGGGGCTGTTGTGCTTTTCTCAGGCCAGAGAGATCCAGGCCCCTCAGCCCCTACTTCTGGAGCTTTCCCAAGGACTTCACAGCCACAAGGGGCAGGGCTCATGTCCCTCGGCTGCACACACACTGTGCAAAGCTAGAGGACTGCTTCTGTGTAAGCAACCCCTGCTCCGGCTTTGGGGAGGTGGGGGGCCACTCACTACTCCCCAACTTGAGTGAATTCTGGTCTCATTCAGACCAGCAGAGCCCTGTGCCAGGCACCATCATATCTGTCTTCATCTTGAGTCCTTCCTATAACCCACGACATGGCAAGCGCTCCTATAGTCCCCACTTGACAGATGAGGAAATCAAGGGTGGGCGTCACGTGATTCTCCCAAGGTCACTTACCCACAACTAGCTAGTGGCAGAGCCAGGATTTGAACCCAGGCAGTCTGACTCCAAGCCCAGTGCTCTTTCCACTAAAAGAGCCATGAGGGGATATTCTGGGGGGGGCAGCAGGACCTCCAGCCCCCCCTCCCAAGACACCCCACCCAGACCTGCCACCTGCTTACCTGGATGGAGGTAGAGGGTGCAGACTGGGAAAGCAGAGAGGCGACCCACGCCTGCCCGGCTCCACGGCCCGATGGCATCTCAGGATGTAGAGGGTAAGCTGACCCGAAAGGCCGGCAGAGGGGCTCTGCCCACTGGACCCCCTCAGGACTGGCTCCCAGAGGCCAGACAGAGGCAGGGGCTCAGTGCAGTGGGCCAAACTGCCAAGGGCACGGCCAGTCCAGGGGGCACCCCTTGCGTACCACTCATCCCCAGACGGCTCCTTGGACTGCTCTATGCCCATCCTTCACCCAGCAGACGGTGTTGTCCACCCATCTGCTCCCCCAGCCAAGGAGTCAAAGCACCACAAGCCTCAAGCCAGACTAGAAATGAGGTGGCGGCCAGCACAGAGCTCACGGTGGGCTAAAGAGAACCAGCCAAGGTGGTGAGCACGCGTATGGGGGAGGCTGCCCTCCTCAGAGCAGAGGCTCTCCTGTCCCAAACTGCATGGGAAGAGGGAGAGATTTCCAGACCACCACCCCCAGATCCCCCTCCCTGAGTGCAGTCCCCTCAGGGTGCAGACAGCAGGTCCAACCCGACATTCCCAAGAAAAGATAAGGAGAAAATAAGTGCAGCAGGACAGCAGCAAGGACTGAAGTTAGAGAGAAGGAAGAACTTCCCAACACTGAAAGAAAGAACCAGCAGCCAAGGAAGGGCATGACTTTCTTCTAGTCCAAGTTCCCTGACCACTGGGGCCATGGGAGAGAAGAGGGCTGTAAATTAGACTTTGGGGTGTCCTGGCCCCCAGCGCAAGGCATACTAGTTCTAGTGGGAGAGCCCCACCAGGCCCTGGGGGTGGAGGAGGGCGTTGGGGAGAGCAGGGACTAGACAAGGGCTCAGGACGAAGTCAGATTTTGAGTTGGACCTAAAGTCATGTAGTGAGCAGGATCCAAGCTCCAATTTTGGACCAAGACAAAACCCAGGCTCTGGGTCAGACGTAAACTCTGGCTGCAGCTTGGAACAAAATACCCAACTCAGAATCGAGCCTGTAAGAAAAATGCAGCCGGGGCAGGTGGTGGGCGGGGCGGGGGGGGGGGTGCTGCCGGGTATCAGACTGCTAGAGCTGTGGAGAGGGCAGGAAAGTTCTGCATCTGTCCTTGGAGCTGGGGAGGGGTGAGTCCAGGCAGGGGAGGCTGTGGCGGTGGCGGGACTCGGGGAGGTGACTGGCGTGTTAGCAGGTTAGCATGAGAGGTGAGGAGAGGAAGGTGTGGAGGCACAGGCAGAAGAGAGCCGTGAGAGGTGGGGGGCAGCCCGTTACCTTCCATGTGGGGCCCTGGGCTGAGCCCCCAGGGGGCCCCAGGTCCTGGGGTGCCAGCAAGGTGGGGATCGGCTGGCGGCGGGGCGTGGGGGGGAGGGAAGACACTGAGCTTCTCTCAAACACCTGGGGAGCAGAAGGTGGGGGGTTTGGAGAAGGGGGCACAGGGAGGACAGGGCTGCTGGCCTATGGCCCGCAGGGAGGGACCGCAGCCTTACTCCTTGGCCCCTCACCATGCTCACTGGCCACTCTCCCCTCCGTCTTGTCTCCTCCTCCGGAGGCCTAGGTGGTCAGGATCTCCAGCCCCTTGGGGAGGGGGGCTGAGAACACTTGAGTATGGGTGACTTACAGCATGGGGCGGGGGGCTCAAGGGACATGGGGATCAGGGTGTTAAAGCACTCTGTTCTCAGAACATTCAGGGATGGGTGTGCCAGAGCCTAGGAGGTCTCAGGGCTGTTGTGGGGGTCTCGGAGACTGTAATAAAAAACACTCAACCCTGCAGAGAGGGACTTTAGACCCCCCTCCCCCCATTTTACAGTGGCAGAGAAATCAAGGCAAGGACAGGTTCCCCTACAGGCCAGCCCTCAGCAGGAGCCCAGGAGCCCAGTAATCCCCTCCCCACCCCCTCCCCAGCGTCAGCTTGGTGGAGAAAGGGACGGGCCTGGCTGAGGACTGGGGGACCAGGCAAGCCCCTGACCCACCTCTAGCTCCGCGATGATACGGTCCTCATCGTCCTCATCTTTGATGGCAGAGGCCATGATGGGCGGCGTGGAGGCGGGGCGGGCCACCTCGGACACGGTTCGGCGCAGCTTCACCTGGGGCTTCTGCACCTCCAGCTCCTCGGACTCCGCCTTCTGCAAGACCCAGGCCTTCCCATCAAGGCAAGGCTCCGCCCCCCTCCAGCACCAGCTCACCTCCTAGGCCCCATCAGGGCCAGACCACTTCCTGCCCCAGCTCCTCATCCGCCCTGCCAGGCGGCCCCCCTTCCAGGGCGAATCCCAAGCCGGAGGCAGAGTCGCCCTTGGCCGCCAGCCCCCTTCTTTCCTTCCGTCCCAGAGGGTCTTCACAGGTCACCGCGGGTATCCCACCGCTCCAGGTGAGGTCGGTACCTTGATGAAGGCTGAGTCCTTTTTGCTGGTGACCACCACCTCTCCCGTGCGGGTGGTGGTGAGGCCGTGGGAGGAAGGGAAGCTCCGGCGGGGCGGGGGCGGCGGGGGCGACTTGGAGGGCTTCTCCGTGCGGTACCGAGGCACTGTCAGCTCATCTGTGGGCAGCCAAGGGGCTGGGCGTCAGGGGACCCTTAATCTGGGAGTTCGGGCACGGGGGGGGGGGGGGGGGGGAACCCTGCTTCCTCCTCCAGGCAGGAGGGGAGGGGAAGGCTCGGGAAGAAGACACAGGCCCCTCCTCCTTCTCTCTCACCTCCCCACAGGCCCGGCACCCCTCTTAGTGTACTCAAAGTGCGGTCCACCGGGCCACGGATGAGCTGACCAGCAGCCCCAGCAGCACCTGGGAGCTTGTTAGAAATGCAGAAGCTCAGGGGTGCCTGGGTGGCTCAGTGGGTTAAGCCTCTGCCTTCAGCTCAGGCCCTGGTCTCAGGATCGTGGGATCGAGCCCCACATCGGGCTCTCTGCTCAGCAGGGAGTCTGCTTCCCTTCCTCTCTCTCTGCCTGCCTCTCTGCCTACTTGTGATCTCTGTCTGTCAAATAAATAAAATCTTAAAAAAAAAAAAAGTATCTTTCAAAAAAAGAAATGCAGAAGCTCAGGCCTCCCCACGGCTGCAGAACCAGATTCTACATTCTGACAGATCTTTGGTGATTTCATGCACACATCCACGTTTGAGAAGTGTGCCCAAATACATCCCTTTCTCCCCTGCCCTTCAGCTGCGGCTCGGCACCTGTCTTCCTCTCTTCTCCAGCAAGAGATGGGGGGTTACACTTGTGAGGGTCTGACGCCACCCAACCAGGCTCTCCCTGCCCCTGTTTCCTTGGGGGGGGGGTGCAGTTTCCAGGGCAACCTACAGAAAAGTCACTGAAACCCCACACTCCTCTGCCTTAGAGCCCCCATGGCTCCCCATGACCTCAAACCATGTCCATGCTCCTTGGCCCAGCACCTTCCACGACTACCAACCTTTCAGTCTCCGCTTGCTCCTTCCTGGCCGGAACCCCGCTCAGCAACACCGGACTCCCCCCCCAGGCATTTGCACGCACCCTTCCCTCTCCCTGAAATGCCTTCTCTCACTGGCCAGGGAAAGGCCTACTTGTTTTCAAGACGCCCAGGGGAAGTGCCGTGCAGTGGGAAGCCCTCCCCGCCCTCCCGGGGCATCCTGTGCCCGACTCCTGCAGTTAGCACCCGCATCCTGTGTCTGGTTCACACGCTGAGCGGGGCCCGGGACAGATTCCTTGACTACGCTGAGCCCTAAGTGTCCTCATCTGTGAAATGGGAATAATTACTGTAGCCGCCCCTGGGGCTGCTGCAGAAGCATCAGGATTACTATATAGAAAGCATCTGGGGGCGCCTGCGTGGCTCAGTGGGTTAAGCCTCTGCCTTCAGGTCAGGTCATGATCTCAGGGTCCTGGGATCGAGCCCCACATCGGGCTGTCTGCTCAGGGGAGAGCTTGCCCCCCCCCCCCGCCTGCCTCTCCGCCTGCTTGTGATGTCTGTCTGTCAAATAAATAAATAAATAAATTTAAAAAAAGAAAGAAAGAAAGCATCGGGGATGGTTCCTGTCACATAATACATGCTTGATAAGCAAAAATGCTAGTAGTACACCCCTTCTAAATTTTAAGCTCCTTGAAAACAGGCAGTGTCTTTTCTCCTTATCACCAGCACCCAGTAGGTGCTTGACAAATACAGAGAACAGGAATAAATAAATAAAAGAATGATGACTGTTATTTCTGGTCAGATTTCTGCCTCCCCTGTGTGCTCGCAGCTTGGGGTTGAGGGGAGCGGGGCACAAAATCCACGTCCACGAGGACCAGCACCATTCTGGTTTCCGTGCCGCCTGGGTCAGAGAACACGCTTGGTCACAACGTGCAGACGGTGACTCTAGGCCCGGATTCGCTCCTCCTCCCTGTGTGGGCCTCTCAGCCACAGTCAGGGTGGTGGGAAGATCCCCAGATGGAGTCCAGCTCTGCCCTGTCCTCTGGGTCTCCCTACAGCGGCTAAGGGTCAGATGGCTGAGGTCCCAGCACCTCCCCTCTCTGGTCATCTGACTCCAGAGATTCTCACACCTGGGTGCCTCCCCCAACAACCTGAGAGTTCCTGAAGATGGGGTTCCCCTCCCCTGGGCTCTTCACCAGTCCCCTACCCACCCCCATACCTGAGCCCCTCCTTCCACTGGGCTCCGTCCGAGGGGCTGCCTTTTGGCCGTGGGGGACCTTGGGGGGCTTGTGGTCAGGGGTGGGGGCCAGGCCTGGGTGGGCCTTGCTCGCACAGTCCAGGTCAGGGATGGCCTTCAGCAGCTCTGCCTGGGTCTCCTCCAGCAGCCGGTTGATGTCCTTGGCGCTGTACTGGGTCAGGGCGGCCCGCTTCTCCTCCCAGTCCCGCTCCGCAGCCTGGAGAGGAGGAGCGGGAGTCAGCCCTGAAGCAGGGGCTCCAGCCCCTTCCCCCAGCCACACATGCCAGGAAGGGAGAAGGAAGTTTGGTCCAGCCCCCAGGGGACACTCAGACTTCTTGAGCATCCTATGCTTTCCCTGTCAGTCCGAATGCCACCACCATTATATACTACTCTCTTGATAATACTTAGCCCTGTTTTGGAACATTCTATTCTGTTTCATTGACCACATAGTCTATTCTTAGACCTACACCACACTGCCTTGATTGTTATCATTTTATAAAATGTTTTTCTGTCTGGCAGAACTCAGCCATCATCAATGTGTCTCTCAGACTTCCTCCTCCCCCAGGAAAGAGTACCCACTTGTTGGCACCTCTGTCTCGGGCGGTGGGAAGAATGTGTGGGCCGAGCTCATGCACCCCACCCTGGTCCCGGACCTCACACCTCAACAGACACAGCCTTGTCCACACTTCTCTTGCCAGCAGCATCCAAGCTTTTGGTGGGGTTGCCCCCCTTGGGTGTAGGAGGGGCTCCCTCGGCTGGCCCACTCAGCTCGTGGAGGTTCAGTGGAGGACTGGGGGGTGGCATTTCGAAGTCCAAGCTCTTGTTGAAGTCCGCCTCAGCGGTCACCTTCTTGGGGGACTGATTCAGGAGACTGTTGGGGGGTGGCCACACACCCTCGTCCACTTGCCTGGGGTAGGGAGAGTTGGGAGTCGCTGTGAGGCCCGCGGCTGGTGGCCCCATGCAAGGGAAGCCTGGCCTGGGGGAAGCAGGATGTGAGGAGGGCCCTGGGATCTCTCAGGCCCGCTGGAGGGGCCTGGGGAGGAGTGAGCACATCCAGCATAAGGGAGAACTTAGCCTACACCATGCCAGGGTCGCAGGTCAGAGTGGAGGTACAGATCCATTGGTAAGTCAGTGACCTCTAGAGGAGTCAGGGTAAGGGGTTGGGCTGATCTAGCAAACTGCGCCCGGGCGTGTGACCTCCTGGGAAATGGAAAGTCGGAGATAGGTCAGAGAGGGAAAGACCTGCGGATCTGGGCCAGCATGTCCGTGACCCCACGACAGCGCTTGAGAAGCCCGTCCAGGCGCTGTGGCTCCTCCTTCAGGAACTTCACGGCCTCCACCTCCACACGCAGCACCACCCGCATCTTGCTCTGCAGGCCTGGGAAGTGAGCTGGGGGGACCAGAAGGAGTGAGCTGGGGAGAGAGCAGCTCCAAGGACAGGGAGGAGGGGCCACAGGGAGGGCAGGCCTGGGAGTGGGGGTGGGGTGGCAGCAGGGACTCCTGCCTGGGACCACAGGTGGCACTCTCATGTCCTCGCATCTGGGCTCACCCTTGAGCTCGGTCAGCGTCTCCCCGAGCTGCTTCAGTACCAGTGCCTTCTCCTCCAGCTCTGGGCCCGGCACCAGCCGGTGGTTGTGGGATACATCCCGCTGGATCTTCTCCACTGATTTCTCCAGGTCACTGCAACCAGAGAGAGACCCTCTGAGCCCCTCTGGCCCCAGCCCAGCACCCTGAAATTGACCAAATGGCAAGAAAGCAGGCCACCAGTCAGATCAAAATTCAAAGCCATCCACCAGGCTACGTGCCCAAACAAAATCAGAAATGCCAAACCCCAGAGATGAGACTTCAGATGAGTTGCCGAATAGGTGTCCTGGGTACACCCCTCACCCCTGCTTCCCTTACCCCCCGCTCCCCCAGCACCGTTCAAGTTCTGGTCTTTAGCAACATCGACCCAAATTTCTCTCCCAATAACTTGAATCCTCTGGTTCTCATTCTGCCAAGGAAGCAGCAGCGACCCTAGCGGCCTTTCTGAGAACTGCAGGCACCTGCATGTGCTATGAGCTCTCCTCCTGAAGCCAGGCATGGCCGTGTCCGGCTACCTTCTCTCAAATATCCAGACACTCAGCTTCTTTCCTTGAGGACAAAACTGCTTTCAACTGTCAGAGGGTTTATGCTGAGCTTGTGCCGTTTTAAACTCCACGTCTTTCTAAAATGTAAGTCACACCAAGTCATTCCCCATTGTTGAACCCTACGTAGATCCCCTCACCCTGAGGCTAAACTCCAAGCAAAGAAGGGCATGAGGGGAGTAGGTGAAAAGTAGGCTCTCCAGTTAGACAGATCCAAATTCCAATATCAGCTCTGCCCCTCCCAGAAGAGAGATCTTGAACAATTTACATACTATGTCCGGACTGCCACCTCCTTGGGCAAAAAATGGAGGTGGAAGAGTTATCACCTCTAGGGGCCATTGTGAAGATTAAATGAGCTAATGCTGGGGCACCTGGGTGGCTCAGGTGATTAAGCAGTTAAGCATCTGCCTTTGGCTCAGGTCATGGTCCCAGGCATCAGGCTCCCTACTCAGCAGGGAGCCTGCTTCTCCCTCTCCTTCTGCCCCTGCTCATGCTCTCTCTCTCTCACACACACACACAAATAAATAAATAAAATCTTTAAAAATTAAATAAATGAGCCAATGAAGATGAGAAAAGGGTGGCAAAGGGCCAGTCCCTGGGGGCTTCTCTTAATTTCCCTCCAGCCACATCCCCTGTCCTCATCCAGCTTGCTTCTGTTTAGAACCGTCCACAACTTCTCCAAGGTCCTTGTATGTGCTGCCCTCTCTGGGCCTTTATAATGCCATTTCCTCTGCCTAGAACACTCCATTCACACACACACACTCACACACAGGCACACATACATGCACACGTGTGACTAAGACCCACTTCTCCCTCCGGTCTCAATGGGAACTGCTCCCCCACTCCCTACACTTGAGGTTGGGGGTCTGCTTCCTGCCTCACAAACCCTCAGACCTCTTGCAAGCTGGGCTGTGTAGCTCCTGGCAGGCAGGGACCGTGTCTTCTGGATTCGTCTCCAAGCGCCAGCCCCTGGCCTGGTGCCTGGAGCAGAGTAAATGTCTGGTAAATAATTCTGGAATGAATGGGTAAGTGAAAGAAGGAACTGCTGCCCAGGTAGGTCATCTCAGTTCTGTGACGTGAGTCACTGACATTTCTGACCCACATGTAAGACTTTACACATATCCTTGTCACATCCCATCTGCTGGATTTCAGCTCAACAACCCAGGTGGGAACAACTTTTGAATCATAGTTCTACCACCCGACAGATTTGCTCCCCCTCAAAGCGCTGTGTCACTAGCAAATCTTATCAGCATGCCTATACATCTTCATCCAATTAGTGGATGAAAAGACAGACCACACTGGAACAAGGACAAGATCCTGTGACTCAGCACTGCCAGCTGAAGCACTCTCTTGTGCTGAGTGCTTACTGTATGCCAGGTGCCATGGGCAGCCCTCCACCTTCATTACCTTATCTAATCCTCACCAAAAATCCTGGGCATGGAAGACATTATTACCTCTGGTTTACACACAGACAGGAGTTCAAACACCAGACTACATTTCCCAGCCTCCCTTGCGCTTAGAAAAGGCCACGGCTCAGGTCCAGCCAATGAGATGGGAGTTGAAGGGGGACATGCTGCCTCCAGGCTGTCCCATAAAAGCTTCCCACATAAGCTCCTCCATGCTCCTTTCCCCTTCCTATGGGGTGAAAGGCAATGACCCTGTGAATGATCTCGGAAGGCCCATACTGAAGACGGCCAAACCTCTGGGTCCCTGAAGGACTCCATGGAGGAGGTCATTCCACTAACCCACCCAGTAGTGGTCCATGAGAAAAAAAAGATGTGTCCATTACTTTTGAACCATTATAGAATTTGTTATAGCAGTTACCCTAACACAATTCTCTTTTGTATTTAAAAAAAGGGGGGGGCTCAGGGAGATGAAGTGGGTTGTTGAAGGTTATACAACTATTTTGTGGCAAAGCAGAATCTTACTCATGTTGACTTATGCCATTGGATCATGCCATACCCATCCCTGTCCCTGCTCCGCCAGGCGGGAAAGAACCACTGATCTTCCCTGCTGTGTGTGTGGGATGGGCTGGCTCAGGGTGTGCCTGTTTTGTAAAATGGTCACTCGCTAACATCACTCTGTGGGGGAAGAGACCCTCATTTAAAGGAGGACTCAGGTAAGCCATCAGGAGGACACAACACTGCAACTCCCCGGGCAGAAGTTGCGAGGTCCTCCTCAGGCTCAATTAGCACTTCGATTTTCTGATCATGAAACCTGCCAAGGTTTTGGGAGGGCTGATTTGGACAAGTTCTGCAAATGAGCCCCAGACTGGCCTAAGTTTAGACACCATTAGCAGAAAGTGGCTGGGCTTTCCCTGCCCCAGGTTCAGTCCTGGAGGGGTGGAGAGCACCGGGTCAGGACAGAGCCAGCTCTATAATTCCTGGGGCTCAATAAAAAATGAAATTTGCCCCTAGTTAAAAAGTTATTAAGAATTTCAAGATGACAACAGTAGAGGATGGGGCCATGAGGAGTGTGGGGCCCTGTGTAGCTGTGCAGTTAGCGGGCCGACAAAGCCCATGCTGGCTTAGTCAAAGTTAGGCTCCAGAAGCCAGAAGGTCTCAAGTCAGCAGAGAGCACCCCTCAGGGTAATGTCTAGACAGAGCTCAAGTGCTTGGCTACAAAAACAGGTTAGAGAGCCACATTGAATGAAGCACGGAATTGGCCCTACCTTCCAGCAAGATGCTGGGGCAAGAGGAAGGAACGGTGCAAAGCAGAGTAAGCACAATCCTGTAGGCGCTACAGCTAGAGTAAGGGTAAGGATGGGTCTGCTGGTCAACCTAGTGTCCAGGGATGCTATGGGAGCTGGCAGGGAGGGCTCTCATAGCCAAGCCAGAGCCACCTCAGGGCTGATGTCCCCCCAAAAAGGCAAGAAACCCCTTCAAAGTTCACGGAGAATCCTACCCGAAGCAATGGATCAGCCCCCAAGCTCTCACAAGTGAGCAGCTTGAACAAGGGATTTGATAACAGAACAGAGGGTAGGGAGTCTGTGTGCTCCCAGAGAACTGAGGCCCCCAAGAGGCAGCGGACTAGACGCTCCAATGACAGAAGCTTAAATCTGCCCTTTCATCTCTTCTGCCTCTGTACTTTTATATTTTCTTTTATTTTCCTTTAATGTCTCAGTAAAGTTCCCTTTAAAAATCTCAACCCAGCTCCTCTGTGCCAAGTGAAAAGGATAGGCAAGGAGAGGACAGAAAAGTTGGGTAAATGGAATTCTCTGGGTGGGGTGGAGGGTGAGAGCTGTCAGTCTACTTGGAGATCTGACTGAGGTTGTCACTAAGCTTTCACACCTGAAATGATGGGATGGCTGCCACCAGCTTATTTCCAAATGAGATTGGCCCTTACTTCATCTCAGCCACAAGGGGTCATGGGAATCTCGAAGTACATAGGCTGTGTGGGCTCAAGACTGAGAAGTAGGGACCCTTCTCTAGGAGCCCCTTGCAAACCGGGCTCCTCTGAGAAGCCTCTCCTGGCTCCCCAAGTCACTGGCCACAAGCAAGTTCTTTCCCTGGAAAGAACCGCAAAAATCTCAATACTGGGGACAGATAAGGGAGCTGAAACACAGAGGAGGGCAGAAACTGCCCAGATCACATGGTCTCTCGATGCTGGAGCTAGACCTCGGGTCCCTTTGTGCCCTGGGCCACCAAGAGGGAGGCCAGAGGAAGGAGCAGATCCCAGGCACTGACAAGAGAAGGCTGCTGTGGGGCGGGGGGTGCTCACTCAGTGGATGGACAGCAAAAGGCAGCTTCTCCCTTCCACAGTGCCAGACAATGGGATCTTGGCCAGACAGCCATTTGCTAAATTTGGATGAGAGGACTGTCTCCTGTTAACCCTTCCAAGTCTAAGCATTTGGGAGCTGGGTGTTCTCCATTCCTCACTCTCTCTGAAAAAGCAAGAGCCTTGTTTCAGCAGCACCAGGACGGAAAGAAGGTTTCCCTTGGCAATGCCTGGTCTCAGAGATCAGGGAACTGGAGTGGTGGCAGTCGCAGCTACCCAAGGGTCACTCTGTACAGGTCATAGGGCTGAAGGAAAGCAGAGAGAGGACGGAGTGGAATCCTGCAGCTGCCACATGAAAGTAAGGTCTCAGGTCAGGGAGAAGCCAGACTGTGGACCGTGAGGAAGCAAAAACATAGCAAAAGCAGGGCATCAAGCCAGAAAAAAAAAAAAGAAAGAAAGCGAAGAAATCAGGAATTGTGCCAGATGGTCAAAGGTTTGTGGGTCACAGAGAAATCAAGCCACAGAGGAGAAGGAAATCAGGCTTCAGACCAGACCAACGTCACCTGTGATTCAGAAGGAAGGGAGCTGCACCTCCCAGGGAAACCATGTTGCCGCCCAGGCCGCACCCCCAGCCCTCCCCCGTCCCCAAGCCTCACTTGAGCTGCTGGGTAATGAGCTCCTCGTCGTTGAGATAGCGCAGCCGCTCTTCCTCCACCAGGGTGCGCTGCCGCTGCAGCGGGTCCTCCTGCCGCCGCGCCGCCTCCGACACGCGCATGCTCAGCTCCGCCTCCGTGCCCTTCAGCAGCGCGCGCAGCGACTCCAGGTTTTGTAGCTGCGGGAAGCAGAGACCGATGGAGAGGGGTGGGAGGGGATGGAGGTGCTCAGCAGGGGAAGAGCTGGGGGGAGGCGGGCAGAGGAGAGCCCGATGCTGGGCGGGCTCCACAGAAAAAGCGGCCGCTGCGCTGCGGCGGTGAGCAGCAGTGAAAGGGCGGGACGGGGGAAGCAGAGGCCCAGGGCTAAATTCTGGGAAGAATAGAGGCAGAAGGAGAGCTGCACGGGGACAGTGGAGGGAGAAGCGCTAGCTACACTGGGGCATGCAGAACGTGCGGCTGCGTGGCTGTGGCCGTGAGCAGCAGCGAAGCGCTGTGGTGGAAGGGGGCGGAGGACAAGGTTGCGGGCTGGGGAAATACAGAGGCAGGAGAACCGGGTGGGCATGTTTGGGGGCAGGAGGTAGCCGTATGTAGGACCGTGCTGACCGTGCGGCTGCATGGCTGTGGCTTCATCAGACTCGAGCTCTGGGATTTGATAGAGCTTCCGTGGCTGGCCAAGATTAACTTAACGCTCGAACCCAGTTCTAAGGTCGAGTTGGGGCAATGACGGGGGTGGGTGAGATCTTACCCGCTGCCCAGATGGCAACTCTCTGCCCCCTCTCCAGCCTGTCTCTGCTCATTAGTCTCACCTGACGGGCCCCAAGGCCCACTCGAGGAGCGGGCACAGCGATGCCAGGCTCCTGACTGGTGGGACCATCTGCCAGGCGGGGCAGATCGGGGAAGACTGTGCGGACTGGGGAAGGGGTAGCGGAGGGGATCTACGCGGAGGGCTTCCGCCCGAGAGGGGAGGGGAGAAAGAATGCTGGGCAGGAAGGAATTGGGACTGCCCTGAGGGATACTGACAGGTGGAAGGGGCTCAGTGGGGTGGACTGGGGCTCCAGGAGAACGTGATTATTCAGGGAAGGGGAAGGAGAGAGCAGTGAGGGGAACTAGGGCGAGCGGTGATTCAGCGAGCGAGCGGGAGCTCAAGGCAGGGTAATGGGAGAAAGGGTTCGCAGAAGGCCTTGATGAACCGCAAGGGATTCCGATGGGGATGGGACGAGACTTGTGGAGAGGGGGCTCGAGACTTGTGGAGAGGGGGCTCGGCGCGAGTGGGTGGGGTCTATCGGGGAGGGGCTTGAAGGGATGGGGCACGGGGGCGAGGCGCCAGTACCTGGAGCTTTCGCAATTGCTGAAGTTGGCTACGCAGGTCACTGGTGCTGTTCTGCAGGCCACGCAAGTGCAGCTGCATCTGCAAACGGCTAATGGCCGTGGGCTGCCCCGCAGGAGTGCTGCCGGCTGAGGGCGGGGGAGCGCCGGACACTGGGGTGGCCCCGCTGCTCCGGCTGCCGGACCCGCAGGCTGCAGACAGGGACCACGAGGATGGGAGAAAGGCAACAAACCTTGAGCCTGCAAGGGGCCAGGACAAGGTCCTTCCCACCCGTGATTCTCACAGTAGCCAGAGAAGCACGCGGCGCTGACTCCCTGCCCCAGCTTGTGGGTCAGCCCTTCTGTGGGGAGCAAAGCACCAGGGCAAAGCCATCTTGGGCTAAGGTCACTGCTCATTGATCCACTGAAGCCCAGGGATGTAGCTGATGGTTTAATTCCCACTTTGCGGATTAGGAATCTGAGGCTCAGAGAGGGCAAGTACCTGTGGGGGAGGGGCAAGGGGCCACTCACGTGCTGAGGGGGTGCCTGCTCCATTGGAGCCTTCAATCTTCTCACTGTGGCACAGGGAAAAGATGGCCATCAGAGGGTCCAGGCTGACCCCAGACCGTCAAAGCTGAGTGAGACTTTAACGTAATCTCCTCCAGTCCCCTGATGTCAGGATGGAGTCCCAGAGAAGGAAAAGGGCTCACCCAGAGTCACACACTGAGACATTGGCAGAGCTGGGCTCAGAGCTGCTGCTGCTGCCTACTTTCCCTTCCTCTTGTCCCAGCCATAAGCCCTGGCAATGGTGCTGAAAGAACCTTACCTAGGGGTCTCAGGCTCCGAGCCTCGTAGTAGGGCGCTCTGTACCAGGCCCGTGAGACTGGCAATCTGCTTCTCCATGGCCTCCATGCGCTCCCTGGGGAGGATGGTGGCTTTGAGCAACTCCTTCTCTGGGCTTGGGGTCCCTCTTGCCCAGCCCCTCATTCTTAAGATTGATAATTAGAGGAAATACTATTCCCTCCCCAGCCACCAGCACACAGACAATTCAAAGGGCCCCCACCCAACATTGTTAAGGCCCCTTTCCATCTGACTGTCACGCCCCCTCTTGCCAGCCCCATCTCTCATTACTGGCTCCCTAATGGGCCCCACCCAGGCCTCTCTGTGCCTCTGCACATGTTCCCCCCTTCCTGGGCATGCCCTCCTCCCGACCTCTTCCTGAAGCCATTCCAGAGCCCCAGCAGCTTTAAAGAGTCCCTCCTCCCACACCACCTATACACCCTCCCAAGGGAAGTGCAAGTATTTTTTAGTGTGTCACCCCCACTAGACAAGGCAGGAACTAGGTTTGCCCAATTCAGCATCCACAGTGCCCAGTGCTGTGCCTGGCACACAGCCACAAGACAGCTGTGTGAATGTGAATTGCTCTGCTCATCTCTCAGCAGCACTGCCTGAGGACAGAAGGGATAGGTCAATGCTCTGGGTACCCCTTCCAGCCCTGCACCCTTAGGATGGAGCTGAATAGTGCGTAAGGGTTCCCCAGCTTGGAGGCTACCTAAGGGAATGTGCCTCTCTCCCCGTCCCTATTTCTTAGCAGCATCCCCTCCCCAGTGGACTTCAGCCGACCGTGTGCTGGACAGCTCTCATGGCTGCAAACTGAGCAGGAAAAGCACTAGAAAGCTGTTTAGCCTCAATTTTAGTTGGGGAAACTGAGGTTCAGGGAACAGACGCAAACCCAGGTTTCCAGAGACCTTGTCTGGGGCCCTTTTATCTAACCCCCAGGTCTTGCAGAAGGAAGGAAAATGGCCTGTTCATCTCTCCAGTGCCTTCCCGGCCACATCCAAATTATTCCAAGACTCCTCTGGGTCTACAAAGGACTCTGGGGCCTCACAGTCCAGGACACAATCCTGCCACAGACTCTGCTGTGTCCCTTCTCTCCATCCCACCCCCCAAGAGCCCTGAGGCCTCCTGAGCGTCCCTCACCTGGTCTCCGTGTCCTTGGCTGGCACCGGCGGCCCAAACCCAACCAGCGGGCGCTCCCCAGGCCCAGGGAAGAGCTCTGGAGGGGGAGCTCCGGCTGTCGAGGAGCCCCCGGTGCTGCGTGTCTTGCCTCCGGGGCTCTCTGCAAAGACCGACGAGGAGCCCGAGTCTTTGCGGAAAGACTGGCGCACTGGCGAGCCGCGGCTGGGCGGCCCGGAGTAGGGGCTGTGTGGAGGCTGGGGGCCTCCGGGGGGTGCCGCCACATCGGCCAGCTTCTGTGGCGACGAGGGCGGCAGGCGGAAGCCATAGCCGTCTCCGTAGAGCGGACCACCGCCCGCCGCCTTGTACAGCGAGTCCTCCAGGTCGGACTGCAGCGCGGCAGCCGAATAGGTGCTGAGCGAGCGCACCGAGCCGCGCTTGTAGAGTCCGCTGGCCCCCGGGTAGGCGAACGGGTCACCGGCAGCCGCGGCCAGGCTCAGACGGCCCTCGTGGAGCAACCCGTAGGGGTCGGCGTAGAGGCCCTCGCCCTTTACCAGCACCATGCCGCCCGCCTTGCCTGCCAGGTCCTCGTCGGGCTTCACATCGCGCCGCTCCAGGATGGCGCTGGGGCTGGGGCTGACGCCCTGGGAGGCTGGGGCACCCCCCAGCCGCTCGGCAGCGTGGTGCACCGGACTGCCAGCGTAGGAGGGCGGGCGCCCCCCGGCGTAGGAGAGGCGCGAGCGCGACGGCGAGCCCGACTGCAGCCCCGACGGGAGCCCCGACGGCAGCCCCGACGGCAGCCCGGACGGGAGCCCCGACGGCAGCCCCGACGGCAGCCCCGACGGCAGCCCGGACGGCAGGCCCGGGGGCGGAGAGCTGGACGCCATGTGCGGCGCCGGCGACAGGTTGTTGAGACGCCGTGTGGGCGATGACTCTCTTGAAGCATACACCATCTCTCTCTGTGCAGAAGACAGTCCCAGAACCCCACGGGGCTGGTCACAAAGGGGATCCCTTGCACCTTGCTTTTGGAGACAGCATCTTTCCCCCTGACGCTTAGGAAGTTCCTTCTGTTCTCTGCCCTCCTTTGTTCCTGCTGTATTTGGGCCCCCTTCCCATCAGGGCTCCCAGCATAGAGGAAGAAGTGGCAGATGGAGAGGAACTAGAGGAGCAACCTGCGGCCCACCCTCTGGTGAGGGTTGGGGAAGCAAGAAGGGAAACACTGGTTCCTGACAGAGGCAGCTACAATACCTAGAGGCCTCTTGGAAAAATCCTGAATGGAGAGGAGAGGGCATGGCTGATGAGGGGAAGGACCCTCATGTCCACAATTAGTGGAAGCCACCCTCTGCCTCAGCCTCTATGTTCCCTTCTCCAAAAACTGGCCCTGGTCTCTATTGACAAGTAACTAGACTCTGTACTCCTGGACCCCATCTGCCCAGCTTCCCCAGTGCCCTGGGGTTCCCCAGCCATACCCGGAGGTCCCCGTTGGTAAGGTGTGAGCCAGGGAAAGCGGCGTAAAGAGGCTCCTTCCTATAGATCTTGATAATACTTCGGTCCTGGATGTCCCTGGGGGGGAGATGCAATGGGTCACCATCCCTCAGCCCCGCGATAAAGAGGGGTCTCTTCTACAGGAAGAGGGTTGGCAAGAGGGGCCAAGAGCCCCAACCTCTTCCTAACTTCTTGCTCAGTGCCTCGGACTGCCTGCCACCAACACACACTCCACAGCCTCCACCCCGTCCATGTCCTCTGCTTCGTGCGCCCCTGGCAGGTTAGCTTAAGCCAAAAATGAGCCAGCAGGGGTAGATGATTTCGAGGGGAGGGGGTGGGATGACGGAGGAGGAAGGAGAAGAGAAGGGCTGAGACTGGGGAGGGAGAGACCCACGGAGTTGAGCACCCCCCCTAGAGGAGGAGCCTGGGGAAGCCCACCCCTCCCCCGGGGCCACGCCCACCGGACGTCCTCCAGCTCGTAGAAGACGTTGCGAGCCTCGTCTTTGATGAGGATGGCGGTGTTGGGCGACTTGAGCATGCCCATGGTGAGCTTCTGCGGGAACATGTGCGCGATGAGCGCGTGCAGCGTGTCCAGGCTGCTGACCTCGTGCGTGATGTGCACGCGCCGAGTCTCCTCCCCGAACTGCAGGAACAGCACCCCTGCGAAGGACAAGCCACCTTTGCTGTCAGAGCCGCCGCCGCCACCGCCACCGCCACCACCACCACCACCACCACCACGCCGGCTGGGAGAGCGAGGGGGGCCTTCGGGAGCCGCGCTGCTCCTGCAGAGGCAGGGTCTCAGGCCCGACGCGGGCCCAGAGTGCAGGTGCACCCATGCACTCCTCATGCTGCCGTCCCCGCAAGGCGCCTCCTCAACCCCAGGCAGGTGGGGGGAGCCTGGCCGAGGGAATGGAACTGGGAGCAGAAGCAGGTACGGCAGAAAGGAGGGAGCCCTTGATTAGAAGGATGAAGGAAGGGGGGGGCTGCTGAAAGGGGTGAGGGAGAGAGGAGGCTGGGAGAGAAAAGGACAGGGCAGGGGCTGCTGAGGGAGGGAAGGGGTGGGAGAGAAGCTGAGGAGGGAGAGGCCCCAAGGAGAGGAGACTGCCGAGGGGCAGGGAGGTGGGAATGCGGCGCAGGGAGCCAGGGGGTTTGGTTAAGGAGAGCTGGAGTAGGGAAGGGGGTGAAGAGGGTTCTAGGGTGAGCAGAGCATAGGGAGGAGCCAGTGGCTCGGAGGAGGGTGGGCGGGGCTCGCGGTACCTGGCGAGCGCAGCTTGGTCTGGCTGGCGGAGCGGGAGAGGGGCAGGCTCTGTCGGAAGCGGTTCATCCTACTGAAGCCCAGGGGCAGCTCCGCCTCCGACATGGTCTCCAGCGACTCAGCCGAGGCGTATGACAGCTTGGCTGCCTGGTCTGCCAGCCCGGGCTGGGCTCCCTGAGTGTGGCGCGAGCTGCGGGTCTGCAGGGGCAGGGGTCAAACATGAGCCCCTTTGCTCTGCCAGTTCCCCCATCCAGGCCCAGGAAGCCCCTGCCAGCCAGTGACACACACAAGGGTCTCCTGCATTCCAGACTCGCTGTGTGGCTACAGGAGAGTTCCCCAACCCCTTAGGGCCTTGGCCTCCCTGGGACACCCAGCAGGTAAGGAGTGGGCAAAGGGCTCAGGCACCCTGGGAAGTCAGACAAGAAACCATCTGAGCGGGAGCCAGGGCACGCCTGCTATTTTAAGCTTCCAGAGAACAACAACAACACAAATTTGTCACTGAGGTGAGCAGCAGAATCGTTGAGCAAATTGGGGCATTAGTTCCAGACATTAATTAAGCGGCGGGTGGGTGAGCGGCGAATTTATCCTTCGTGGAGTTCAGAGGGTTGGGTGGGGGCAGGAAGCAGGGCCCAGGGAGGAAGCAAAGAGAACTAGGGGCCCCAGGATCCCAGCTCTGGGAGGTATGGGCCCTCAGAGAGGAGCACTGTGTCCTTGACTTAGGGTGCCTGGGAGAATCATCCCGAAGCAGTTTCAAACAGACTCTGCCTACTACATGCAATGCACATGCTAAGCCTGATATGATCCACATAAACGCAGAGCATATGTGCCTGACCTCAGCCCCTCCCTGCAAGGCACATGCTGCCACCCAGCCAACCATCCTGGCTTGTCTTCTAGAAAGGCCTCCCCCTATACCCAGCATGGCAGCCCCTTCATGTGGCCCTGAAGCTACAGCTGAGGGTGGTATCCGGCTGGGGCTAGGGAAGGGTATCACCCAGTGACTGTCCCCTGCCCCAGGGACACCCTGATCACTCTCTCCTTGAGGGAGGGGTCGCTATGATTTTGGTTACACTTTATGAACTACTTTTGGCTGAAGACTGGGGCTGTCACCCAGGGCCATGGTTCCTGCCATTCTGCCCCAGCCCCTTCCCTCAATCCCAGGTACTGTCAGCAACTCTTTTATTCAAGGGAGAAGATAATAAGTCAGATCTGTGTTATGGACATTCCATGTTATGTACGACAGATACATGTATGGATTATATATACATATGTTATCAAGAAAAAAAAATCCTGTTGCCCAGCCATACTTTTCTATAAAATAAGTTGCCTGTTTTTAACAACAAATCACTCAAAACTATTAACCTTGGTTAAGTTGGGGTTGAGACAGCGTTTTCTGTTTTATACATTTCTCTGCTGGGTGAATTTTGCACAATCAGAATATATCACTTCTATAGTTAAAAAAATAAAAAGTATCTCTATAAAGGAGTCATTTGTTCTCCTCTGCTCCCTCGTTCCCCAAATCCTGATTAGCCCCTAATTAATCTCCATCTTCATTCTAACTCAATTTAATGTTCCAATTGGGTTAGCACTCTGGAAAAGAGAGAGCATCTTCCGCTGATGGGCAATGTGCCCAGCTGTCCCCAGTGTGGTCTCAAAGGCTTGGGGATGCAGAAGGTCAGGTTTGGAGACCTCAGGGGGTGTCCAGTCTCAAGTACAATGCCTTAACCAGTGAGGGGGTTTGGGTCTGGGGAGGAAGGAGACAGCGCAGGAACGAGGCCCACATGGGGGTGCCTGTGCCCAGACTTTGGACACTGGAGCTCAGCTCTAGGCTGATCACCAGTGCCAGCCTCTGTCACCTTCAGCCCTGGAGCAGTGTGGGGAACCAGGTCTGGTGTGGTGGTCAATGAGGTTGCCAGGCAACCGGAAGGCCAGCGGTTGCCAGGCTGATGTGGATGAAGAGCTACAGAATTCTGGCAGAATGAGGCAGCTAGCCAGGAACGAAGATGGTGGCCATGGTGCCAGGGGACACAAGTGAGGTGCCAGGAAGAAGATGGAACAGGGACCAGAAGGGTGTGGGGGCAGGGAGCCTTGGGGCTGCTGACTGCAGAGAAGGTAAGACCCTGTCCAGGCCACCCCGGGGAGAAGAGATGCCCACATTCCCTGTCCCCTGCTTGTTCCACTCCCCATCCTGGCCCTCTGCGCACCTTGCCATTCTCACAGCCTTTGTAGAAAACCCTCTTGAGAAGAGAGAAAGCCCATTAGCACTTCTCTTCAGTCCTGGGCTGAGTCAACAGGGCAGAGAAAAGTGAGACACCTAGGACTTCTGTCTACGAACAAGATGGCAAGAGAATAAAACAGTAATTCAAACAGAGCTCTCCAAAGCTAGGAAGGAGCTGCTGGGGAGGCAGGGTGCACCTGGCATGGGAGGAATTCCAGCAAGGAGCCTACGACTCCCGCCAGAGATCAGGCAGAGGGAACTTTGAGTGGGGACAGTCAGGCGAGGATCTGAGGTCCCCAAAGGCTGTCTGTAGAATGGGACAGAATCACTTGGGAGCTTTTGAAAAACATTCTTTTCAGGGCTCCACATTCACTGAATCCAAATCTCTGGGGATTGGGGCCTGGGGTTCAAGATTTCTGACAATTTCCCAAGGTGATTCTGATTTGGGAATCAAGTCAGTGTCTGTGATTCTAACACAGTCTGAAGGGGTAAGGCTTGCCATGAGCCCGGCGCTGTGTTTAGGACGTGCAGTATCTCATCTCTTCTATGTTTACAACTCTGTGAGGCAGACATTGTTGTTCCATTTTACAGAGGAGAAACTGAGGCCCAGGGGATCATGCCATTTACCCCAGATCCCCCAGCGAGTTAGCAGCAGATTTGGAATTAATTCACCACCAGGCTCTTGGGCCCATGCACTGAACTGTTACATCCTATTGCTTCCTCCAAAAATGTTGTGTGCCTGACATCTCGAGTCTATGATTCTGTAATTTCTCTGATGCAAGGACTTCTCTCTGGGCACATGCTCACAGATAAGATGCTTGGAGCAGGATGAGACCTTGGGAGCTGGGGATGGATGCCTCCCACCCCCATCACAAAGCCTGGGAGTTGGAGGGCCAGAGACTCTGGGACACAAGCGGGAGCCTAATTTGGTTCTGTTCTGGGCCTGGGTGCCAGAGACGGCGGAGGAGGCATTTGAGGGTGCTACCCCAGGACTCAGCTGGATGTCCTTGGACCGGGCAGAGAGCTCCGCAGCTGTGGATTGTCCAAACTGTCCTGGGAAGGCAGGCAGGCGCTCATCCCTCAGCTTAGCCCTCCACTTGGGCAGAGGGTTTGGAGTTCAGGGCTGTGAGTCTCTTGCCTGGCACTGACTGGCTCCCCGCAGTGCCAAGTAGGAAAGGGATGAGGGGCCGAGCAGAGTCATAAGACCTCCCTGGAAGATGAAGGCTGAGTCCAGAGAAGAGACCCTCAACCAGATCATGGGGATCAGGTCCCTGTCTCAGAGCCAGCAGCCTCTCGGCATTGTGGGGGGTGTAATTGTCAGGCAGCCTCCCTCATTCCCAAATGCACCCCCCCCCCCGCAGTGTGGGAAAGGCTCACTAAGTACTCCCAGCCCAGATCCCCAGCAGGGGTGGCCCAAACTCCCACTTTGGATCCCACGAACCCCTGGCAGGCGAGCTCAGACTCTCAAAGCAGCAGCCACAGCCTGCAGCCCCAAAGCCCGCCGCCCCCACTGGAAGGTCCCGTGCAGACGCACACCCCTGGGCAAAGCGTGTGCAGGGAGGGCCCAGGGCAGGAGAGCACATGCACTTGTCACGGAAGCAGAGGCACACGCACTGACCTTGAAACTCCAGTAGTTTGGCTGCTGATGGAAATAAGAGAAGACATGGTTATGCGGGGGGCTGTGCGGGGAGAGCAGGGGCGAAGGTGGATTAGAGACCCTCTGAGCTCAGCCTTGGGACCAGGGCCCTCTGCCCTCCCAAGAACAGGAAAGAAGCAGTGCCTGGTACACCCCGTTCTCTACCGAGTCCTGGGCCAGCCCTGGGCAGGCTCCAGACTTGCTGGCAGGGACAAGGGAGAGCCCTTCCAGATGTCCACAAGCCACGCATCCTAGTCACGTGACTCGGAGAATCACAGGTAGGAAAGGTGTCGAAGACCATGACATAGGGAACTCAGGAGACACCGGCAGAGATGAACTGGAGCTGTGGGGTCAGAGAAGGGGCATCTGGTGGTGACGGGCCAGGGGAAACTTCCCGGAAGAGGTGACATTTGAGCTGGGTCCTGAAAAATGAGCTGCTGGAGATTGGGAGGAAAGGCATGTTGAGCAGAGGGATGGTATGGGCAAATGCCCTGGGGCAAGTGGATAGAGAGTGTGTTGAGGGAATAGTCACTGGTCCAATCTGGCTAGGGTACAGGGTCTGGGAAAATAGCAGAGTGGGCCACAAAGAGGGGCTGGGGGCAGCTGGGTAGGCTGCGGTGGACAGGCAGAAAGCATCTGAGTGAAGCACAGTGGGGTCAGATCTGGAGTCTGGGGAGTGCTGGTAGGGCAGGGAGTGGAAGAGGGAGGCTGGTGGCCAAGGCCAGGGCAGGAGGTCTGTGTACCGCAATGGCCCAGCATTACAGAGCAAAGGGGACAGGTACCAGTCACTTCACAGTGCTGGGCAATGAATGGGGAGCCAGCATAAGCAAGAGGAGCTGTAGGGACTAGGAGTGTGGGCAATGTCCTAGAGCCAGATAGAGAGAGAGGAAGACTTCCTGTTGTCCTAGAGTAGGGGACGTCAGGTGCCTCCTCGTTCACCATAACCTAGAGTTACCCTGTCTTCCCTAGAGACCAGAAGGCCCTTGCAGATGGCTAAGGACAAGGAAGGGAGCCCAGAGGCTGGACTGGTTCTTGGCAAAGCTGTAGGCACCCTGCTGACCGGTGCCAGTCTCAGCAGGAAGACAGAGGCCGCAGATGGCCTGGCACTGGGGTGCCTCGCACAAGCAGACAGAATGCCCAGGCTTCAGAGCCACTGGCAGAGAAGAGGGACCCTGAGGGTCCCTGACAGGGAAAGGACATCACAGAGGGGTGTCCTGGGCCACTTGAACGCTTTTGTGGCAGAGAGGAGTTGGACAGGGGTGGAGTCAAGGGGCCCTGCTGGGATGGAGGGTTTACCTGAGTTAGACTTGTAGGGTGGGGGTGATGCCAGGCTTGGGCTGGGGTGGAGAGGTTCACTTACCAGCACCATCCCCATCTGAGCCTCAATTCCCACCTCTCTCCCACCCCCCTGCGCTAGCATTGGCTTCAAGAGACACAAAAGATAGTCACGTGCCAGGCAAGGGAAGGGGGCAGCAACATCTGTGCCCCGACCAGTGCCTAGAACAATCTCTGGACACATGCCACCCCCATGGGTGTCAGGGGATGCCCACGGGGGCTGAGGGGAGGGCAGGCAAGAGGCTGGAGTCGCAGGCTCTCGCCACAGCTGCCTGTGGCCTTGGGAAGGTGAGGGGTAGCAGAGGGAGTGGACACACCTGGGGCAGACAGAGCCAGGCAGAGGGCACAGAAGGTTTATGCTGACAATCCTGTCTGCAGGCCCGGCAGTGATGGACGGCTCTGCAGAGAAGGCCGCCGTCCCTTACCTACTATCACCATTATACCAAGTACACACCGCCCCCCCCAACCAGCGCCCGGGGAACACACAGGCCCCACGCCGAGCCGAGCACAGACTCTCAGACATCCTCAGATAAGGACACGGCCGGAGGTACTGCCCAGAACAACCAAGACACACTCACAAAGGGACACAAGCACTTGGAGAGAAGCCCTCCATGGTCAGAAACCACCCCGGAAGCTCAGAGACGAGATTTTCATACAGCGAGCAGCCCTGCTCGTGCACAAACATGCACCGTCCCCGGCCCTGGCCCCTGACTTGCTCACATACACTCCAACTCCGCTCACAGAAACACGGGTACCATTCACACCCCTGCCAGCCTCCCCCAGAGTCACAGAAACGCACAGAGACGTGGATACCATTCACACATATGTACACACACACACACACACACACACACACACACACACACACACATATCCAGCTGCAGAAACACACAAAACAGTACCCACACAGTATACACACAGAGAGAAAGTCTCATCCCTCCTCCCCTCCACTAGCCGGGTCACAGTGCCTCTGGCCATCTCAGCGACAGCGACTGTCCCATGCCAATGATACCCCAGACATCAGGCATTAGGTAGGTTCACTCCTGATTCAAGAGGCAGAAGATCCCCCACCCACACCCAGCCCCCAGGGTCAACACATAGGACTCAGGATATGCGGATGGCTGAAGCCACCTTGGGCCTCTCGGGGCCTGGTCACAGTCACACTAGCTGTGCCCTGAGTCTGGGCCTGCCTCAGACTCCTGAGGCTGGGCGGTCAGCCCAGGACAGGACAAGTCACTAGCTGGAGACAGGGGAGAGGACTGGGTAGCCTCAGGGCCACAGGAAAGCCAGGCACCCTCCCCTAGAGGGTAACAGTGGGAGAGTCGTGGCATTTGTGCTTGGCAAAGTGGGGTGAACCTCAGATCAGACTTCGGAGACTTTGGGCTCGGGCCCATAGAGCACACTGAGTAGATCCTAGCACCCTCTGCCTCTCTGGAAAGTGGGAGGAAAGATTCCCACCAGGAATGAGACACATAGTCTCCTGGCAACTCAGTGTCCTTGTGAGGGAGGGACGGGGGGGGGGTGGAGACAGTGGGGAGAAGTCATTAGGAATATCGTCCAACCTCTGTCTCTGTCTCTTTCCAGGGGACAGCCTGGGCTCACTGAGAGCAGAGGGTTCCTCCCCGTTTGCTAAGATGAGATTGTCCCCATCCAACCTCCTCACCCTTGACCCGGTGGTCTGTTCCTCCTGTGTACCTACCGCAACGCCCGGGTGTGTAGTAGGCCCTCAACAAATATTTGATCGTGAACCGATGTGAAGGACATAGGACCAGCCCACAGGAGGAGGGGGTTTGTCTCTAAATACTTTTGTCTGGCTCCGGTCCTGCCATCTCCTGGCACCCAGCACCGCTCAGCCTTCTGGGCCTTTTCCCTGGGAGTTTCCCAGCACCAGGAACCCCCTGGAAGGAGGGGAAAGGGCAAGAAGAGCCCAAGAGAGGTTTGGCCCCTGACTCCCCGGCCCAAACACCTCCAGTACCCCCCCATACTCAAAGAGGGGTCTCCCCTTCCCAGAGGACCGTGGGAAGGTAGAAAAAAAGGTTTGAATGGGAGAGCCCTTGCCAAGGGTAATCACTTGTAGGAAAGAGTCTTCTAGGAGCAGAGGGCAAAATGAGGTGTTCTAAAGGATTTGATGTGGAAGCCAACCATTCACTCTCTAGGGGCCAGGCTTTCAGAAATGAGGGAGGAGGAGCTTCTCGGGAGACCCAAGAAAGCAAGGCCAGGGAGTCCTCAAACTCCCTGGTGAGAAAAGGAAATAGCTTCTTGCCTCCGCGGGCTGAGGAGTTAACCCCCGCCCTTCCCCACCCTAAGTGCCCTTAGTGGGGTTCTCCCCGCCCCCTGCAGCTGATCCTTTTCTCCCAGGGACGAGCCCTGGGAGGGGCGGGGCCGTGCCCCGGGGAATCGCAGCGCAGTCCACCGAGTCTCTCCCCTCCTCCGGGCAGAAGTCCCCAGTAGGCTAGGTGAATGGCGTGACCCCTCCTTGACCCAGAGCCCCGACGACGCATCCTCCAGGGAGGACAACCGAATGGGTCGCCCCTCCGGGTCCTGAAGCCCCTAGCTCCGCATGCACGGGCGCACACACCCACCTCTCAACTCCTGTGAACACACGTCCACGTAAACAGCCGCCCCCTAGGCTGGGGCTACCTAACGTGCCCCCGCGCGGCCCGCCTCCCACCTCGACGCACACGCTTGACCCTCCCCCCGGGGGTGTCCAGCGACACCCTCCCCTCCTACCCTTTCCCAATGCAGAGAGTGTAGTGGGAAGGGGGGCTCTGTGGGATCCGCGCGGCCCCAGGGGCAAGGGCGCACCCCAGGAAGGTCATGACTTTCCGAGATTGGGGGAGGGGGCGCCCGCCGCATTGAGGGGGGCAGCCCACGCGGAAGGCGGCGAACGCGGTGGGGGAGGGGAGGGGGCGTTTCTCGGGGACTGGGAACCGCAACGGCCTGCACGCCTCCCACCCCCGGACCGCCCCCCGGAGCCGCGGAGCTGGCCCCATCTCTGTGCCCCGCCGGCCGCGGAACCCCAGGCGGCAGCGCCGGCCCCCGCAGCCGCTCCTCCTTACCTGCGGCCACAGGTGTATGCGCGGGGCCCCCAGCCCCGGGTCCCGCGTCGGGCGGGGGAGGGAGGGCGGCCCCCTACTCCCACCCGCCCGGGCTCTGCCCTCCCCCGGCCGCCTCCGCAGCCGCCGCCGCCGGTGCCCTTTGCTGCAATGCGAGAGCCGCCGCCGCCGCCGAGCGGGCCCGGGCCCCGGTCGCCCCGGTAACCGCGACTCCACCTGGCGCTGCGCGGCGCGCCGCCGAGCACATCCTCTCTCCGGCCCCCTCCCCCGGCGCGGCCCCGTCGGCGCAGCCCCGCCGCTGATCGGCGGAGGCTGGTGGCTGCGTCGCCGCGGTCACCCGATACGCCGGCCCGCCGCCCGGGACTCGGGTTGCAGAAGGAGGGAGGGAGGTTAGGCAGCCTGGTGGAAGCGGGGGAGGGGCTGCGGCTTGGAGTCTAGCCTCTGATCCTCTCCCAGGGTCCTCTTCAGCCTCCCACTCCCAAAGGTCTGGCCTAGGGTTGGGAGGAGGAAAATGGCCTGTCTCCCGACCTGTGACCCTCCGAGATCATAGCCTCTCCCCATCAGGGTCTCAGGGGGCACCGCTGCCCTACTCAGCTCTCCTGTGACTCAATTCCCAGCCAAGTCTGGGAGGCCTAGGACGCCTGAGCTTCCCTGGTAGCCTCTGATCCTGCTCTGCTGTGCAACTCTGGCATTTGCTGACCCTCTCTGATCCTGCGCTTTACATAAAGGAGCCTCAGACTCAGCCATGGAGAAGTGTGATAAGCACCAAGCAGCAAGTGATGACAAGAGCCTATGAATGGCCACTTTCCTCTGAATCACAAAGCCCTGGGGTCAGGGTCTCCTCAAACCTGTATGGAATTTCCTCCATCAGAGCAAATCCCGGATGCAGACAGGCCTAGAGCCCCATGACCTGGGACAACTGAGCTCACCAAGCTCATCCTCCCTTTTATCCGTCACCCCAACCATGTCTAGTGCCAAGACAGGTCATCTGGAGAGAGCCTCCGTCTGCCCCAGGCACACCACACCTGCTGCCCCGTCACCATCCCTGTCCCGGACCCCTTTTGGTTTCCACATGCACTTGGCCACTCAAGACAAGTCTGTCCCATTTGCCGTCCAGCCCTGGGGGGCAGACACATCTTTGCTCCCCAAGGTGCCGTCAAGATGGGGCTGAAAGCCAGGAAGGGAAGTGGGCGGAATGCCCTGTGGGTGATGCCAAGCGTGCCAGTCTGCTGCCAGACTCGAGTTACACTCCACTAAAACATCTGTGCTCTGGAGCCTTGTCCTCTCCTAGGGTGTCACGTCTTTCCTTCTAAATCTTAAAAAAGTCTGTCCTTGCTGCCTGTCCCCAGGGGCAGCAGGGTGTATGAGGCAGTGAAGCTGGTACCCATGCCACCCCTTGGGTTCCCCATTTCTCCATCTCCTCTGCCTCCTACAGCTGAGCACCCTCAAGCCAAGGCCACCCTCAGGGTGCCCCCCCCCGCCACCGGCTGCAATCATACTCTCTGGTCCTTCCTCCCTGTTGGGGCCCCCGATGCCTTTTTTTCTCCCGTGACAATGTCCAGGCCCGAGCTGTGAGTCCAAGCCTTGCCTAAGTGTGCCTCTCTCTCAGTTGAGATCTGTCTTCCCACTAGGGGAAACTGAGGCTTGGTGAGGAATCAGGGAACAAATTCAGAACAAATGGCTAGATGCCAAAGTCCTCTTAAAAACTGGAAACTAATTGGGGTACCTGGGCAGCTCAGTGGGTTAAACCCTCTGCCTTCAGCTCAGGTCATGATCTCAGGGTCTTGGGATCGAGCCCCGCATCCATCAGGACTCTCTGCTCAGCAGGGAGCTGCTTCCTCCTCTCTCTGCCTACTTGTGATCTCTGTCTCTATCAAATAAATAAAATCTTTAAAAAAAAATTGGAAACTGAGCCTTGAACCTACCAAGAAGGGTGACAGACACTGTGAAGAACTTCCTGATGGTAAGACCTGAGGGGAAGGCTGGGTCTCTCAGAGATGGAAAGGTAGTGGGGGGGGGGGGGATATGGGAGGGAAGTGGTCTGTGGCAGGGGGGGGGGGGGAACAGAGTACAGAGCATAAGAGTCTCCTGAAAACCGATGGGATGAGGGGTGGAACAGGTACTCCAGTTTAAAGGAGAAAAGAAAAAAAAAAAAAAGGAGAAAAGAATCCAAAAAAAATTTTTTTCAAAACCTGAGTATTCCCCCTCAAAAAATCCCTTCCCCAAAGCCAAACCTTTGGGGAGGTAGTGGTGGGAATTAGACAATCAAGGGAGAGTACAAGTCATAGGAGTCTCCTGAAATGGGGGGCTCCTGTATAAGAGAAAGGGATGCAAAATTAAAATCCTAGATATCCCCCCTCCAAAAAAAAGTCTTCCTCAAAGCCAAACTCCGCCAGGGGTTTGGGGGGCATGGGGGCAGTGGGTGACTCACCTGGGCCGGCTGGCCAGCCCCGGAGGGGGCGGAGTCGCCATGGAGGTGGGAGCAGAGGGAGCTGAGGAGGCACACGGGGTCCACGGTCCAGCCGCCAACCTGTGTGTGCGAAGGGGGGGACACCCCATTAGGGGGAGCGGGCAGGAGCCGCTGGGAGACTGTGATGGGGCGAGGAGGGACATTCCTGGGGCAAGCTTTGGCACAGAGCTCACACCCAGAGGGACCTTGCAACACTGGCTAGTTCCTTCCCGAGCCTGGATCTCTTAACTAGAGACCCTGGTCTGTTTCTGGATGCTCCTCTTCTGTCCGACTGGGGTTCCCTGAGACCCGGAAAAGGCCCCCTTCCATCAGATACTACTGAATTCCTTTTCTTCACTTCTTGACTGCCTCCCTATACACTCGGCCAGGGAGCCAATCTTCGCCTGTCTGCTCCTCCAGCTCCTCATTACCTCCGCACCGAAGAGGTCACCGCCTACTTCACAGAAACGGGGAACCATTCTGCAGGGATCCTCATCCCCATGGGCCTCTGTTCTGACAACACCTCGTTCTTTCCTGCCATCTCCCACCCCAGGACCACATCACACCTAAGGCTTGAAACCCATCAACTTCTGATTTTCCCCATGGCCCTCTCCCGATTCAACATCCCCAAATTCATTCATCTTCATTCATTCCACAGCCATTCACCCCGCTGGCCCTACCCTTAGGTGCCCAGTCCTCCCCGGTCAGGGAACCGGCTGTAGGTCCTACCCACTCACACTCTACCGGAGGGAATGAATGAGTCAATGAACAAAGGAATGAATTTGTGAGCGAGTTGCTGTTCTCATACTCATCTAAGTATTTGCTGAGTGCCTATCTGTGCCAGCGACCATGCCGGACACGTCTGAGGCCCTCCAATGCACCCACACCTTCCCTCTCAGGCCCACTGCCCCTGGAGGCCATCGCACCTGCTGTCTTCACCTTTTTATGGCCAAACATCCCAGGCCGATCTGAGCCCCAGGTCGTGCTCATTCGCCACCTCCAGTCTCCTCAACCCCTGAAACCAGCCATTACCTTGCCATACCATGAGAGATGAGGGGTGCCTTCTGGACCCACAGATCCCAGACAGTCCCGATGGCTGTTTCTCTCTCTCCCCCTCACTCCCCTCCCCGCCAACTTCGGAAGTGCAAGTGGTCCTCCTCCTGGGCCTTTCTCCTTTTCCTCATGATGGAGAGAATGTTCCTGGCTCCTCCTTGCCACTGTTGTAGCCCTCTCCCCTCTCAGACTCCATTCCGCCCTGGCAGCCACACTTATGCCCTGGGTCCCACTGCCATTCTGCCACAATCCGCACGCTCAGTCTCCTCCTGACCCTGTTGTTGTCCCTTCAGAGTCCTGGGCTATACACATGGCATGCCTAATGGACATCCCGGCGAACATTCTCCCTGCTCTGCAAACTCCCCTCCCATATTGCTGTGTCCCATCCTCCAAATGTTTCCTCCCCACCCCCTATTTCTCCCCAAGACACCGATATCTCCCTGTTGCCCAGGTTTTCTTTGGCTCCTCGGTCCAGGCAGCAAACAAGCCTTGCTCAGTCTTCTCTCCAATCTCCCATCCTTTCCCTTTGTTCTCCCTAACCCACTCTCTTATCCCTCTCCTCCCCTGCCTCCAGCCCCCCATTGCTCCCTCCTACTCACCATCCAGAAACAACCACAGCCCTCCTAGCCGCCACCATCTGACCCCACTTTTCCAGTCTGTCCCCACATCTCCCAATGCCTCCCACCCCGAGCCTTCAGCACCAGCCAGGTGGGCCTCTGTACCCAGCCCCAAACCGACTCAGGGTCACCTGGGTCACATGAGTCTCAGGGTCACCGACTCATGGTCACCTCCCATCTTCCCAGCTTCTAAAACAGCATTCTCTTCCTCGATGCCTGTTCAGACCCTTTTCGTCTAAGCCTGGTTTAGGTACCTCTTCCTCCAGGAAGCCTTCCCTGACCAGGCTTGCCTACCTGGTCTCCTCCTCTCTAAACCTTCTCCCAACTGACTGTGCCCCTCCTACTTAAGCGTAACCATTCTTGTACGGGCTCCAGATCACAAATGCCCCTGCTCCCTCCTCCCAAGCCAGAGCACACAGAGGGAACCCACGGAGAGGGGCTCCCTGAGGGTGAGGGCCATATGTCCATATACAACTCTCCCCTATTCCAATCAGAACTCTGCTCCCAGGAGGACTCAGAAGCTGGGAAAAGGCAAAAGCAAGACAGAACTGGAGGTGACATGGGGCAGGGAGGTGCGCCAATGTGTCCTTGTTGCCTGTTGTGACAAGGGGAGTTGGGACACTCTTCCCCTTTCCCAGCCACATCCAGCAGCACCTGGAAAGGGGTATGGAGCAAGACAGGTGTGGGACACCCCCAGGCCGGACTGAAATCGTGTGGATGGGATGTACCACCCTCCCCTCCTCCGCTTCTCCTGGAGAGAACAAGGCCTGGGTCTCCGCAGCCATCAAGGCATCTTGCCAGTGTGGGACTGTAGGCAGAAGGCTTGTCCCAAGAAAGAACTTTCCTACAGACAAAGTCATACATGGATGGAGAGGTGCATCCAGGAACCCAAGGATCTGGGAGAGGTTTACAAGGGAAGCTTCCCACCCCAGATAGGAGAAGGCAGGCCCAGGTCCAGAAGCAGGCACCTGGACTCCTCTATAGCCTTTCTGATGGCAGAAGAGAAACCAAGGCAGCCTCTAGCTCAAAGTCACACAGTGAGTGTTGGGGGTAAGGGAGGAGGAGACATGGAGGGAGGAGACAAGGCAAAAGGCCCCAGGAGTTCTGGGCTCTGTTCTTACAGCAGCTGGGGGCACAGCAGATCCAGCCTACTGAGGCTCCCAAGGAGGCCAGTCACAGAGCTGTTCCCCTGGGGTGGTCTCAACTCCAGGCAGGACGGATTTTCAGGCTCCGAACAGCCAGTCCCCAGGACTGTCCCCTCCCCCTCCCCACCACTTCTTTGGCCGCCGAGTCAAACTTCCCACGCCTCAGCCCAGTCCAACGCCCCTCTGCCTCTCTGCTCCAGCCAGTGCTCCCAACTGCGGGACTGCACACAGAGGTCTGCAGGCTGAGCCCCCATCCGCTTCCTCCCCAGGCTCCAGAAAAGGCCCTCCACCCTCTTTCCCGCTCTCTCCTCTGATGCCAAACCGAATCAGAGCCCCGGGGGCAGGGGAGCACGGGGCCAGACCCCTCCCCGGCCCACAACGGGCCCCCCACTCACCTGCTCGCGCATCCTGTCGGGCTGACCCCGCAGGGCCAGGGCGTGCTGCGGGTACTTGTTCTTCAGGTGGTCCATGAAGGCATCGCGCTTGCGGTCGGCATCCGCCTTCTGGAGGCCGCTGAGCGCCTCCAGGCTCTGGGCTGCGATCACCGTGTGCCGTCGCTCCGACGTGTGCACCAGCCCTACGTTGGAGAAGCGCCGGCCCCCGCCGCCCGCGCCGCTCCCGCCCCCCAGGGTCCGGTACTCCCGCGGGTACTCGGCATCGTCCGCAGACAGCATGGGGGGGCTGCTCCGCTCCGGATCTGCGAGAGGGGAGAGGGGGCACGGCGGGGTCACGGGGCGCCCGGCGCCTGGGGCTGCCCAGCCCTCACCGGGTTGGGGCCGTGTCACTGAGGGGAGGGGCAGGCCTAAGGCGGGGCAAGAGGCTCGGGGGCTGAGACCAGAACGCGGCTGCCCCCACCCCCTGACTAGGGGACCGAAGGGGGCGAGCTCCAAGGAAGTTGGGGGGCAAGGGCGGCCCGGCTTCGTGCTCTTCTTTGGGTGGGTTTGGAAAGGTAACGACTGCAGGTGAGCAGATGTTTTTTGAGGCCAAGGAGAGGCTGGAACCAGGGGTCTTGAACACCTGGAGCCGTTCATCCCTTTCCTCCTTCCACAGCTGGTGTGAACAGGTTAGGGAAGGGGCGTTTCCTTTAAATGGTTCCTGAAAGATGTGGGAAGGAGCCTGCCCAGTCTTCCTTTCATGAGCATCCTCTAAGAAGAGGGGTGTGTGTGTGTTGTGGGGCGGGTGGGGGGGGCGGGGTAGAGACCCTAGCTTCCTCCTTCAGACTAGCATGCCCAGGACACACTCGTCCTAAAGGCTGGGGATTGGCTTGGAAAAGGATCAGGACTAGGATACTGGGGGCAGGAGTAATGATGGCAAGGAGATGGAGGCCCAGGGTCTGGGGCATGGGACCCTCTCTTTCCCTCCCTCCCCGGAGACAGACAGATGGACAGACAGGGGAGACTGGGCACAGAGAGGACAGTGAGAGAGAGATGGGTTTAGGACAAACTCAAAGGAGAAAGAAAGCAGACAGAACAGCTCAAGCCCTTCCCCTGGAGCCCTCCCCTCCCCCTGCCCTCCCTCCCGTCAGTCTCCCTTCCCAACACACACACACACACACACACACACACACACACACACAAGTTCAAGACCTTTAAGGGACGCACAGGGGACAAAGGACAGTACAGAAGCAGAAAAAAAGAGAAGGCCGGGGGTTGAGGTCCCCACACGGAATTCTGAATCCTTTTCCCATATGGCCACCATCCCTGAGCTCCTGGTCCTACCCTGCCCCACTCCTGGCCGAGACTTGCTGTCTCCCACCTTCCAGCCTCGAAGATGACTTTTCATAGCCCAGAAGGGCACAGTGCTTCCAGAATGACACCCGTACCAGGTGCCAAGGAGCTCCTGACTGGGAGGCAAACGCAGTCTCCCAGGAATACCCCAGCCCCACCATCCACCAGTCTCCAGGCCACGCCCCCCACGTATAGCCTAGATCCAGGGCTGTCAGGCACTGCTGCAGACAAGTGTACCCCCACACAGGGGCTGACTCGCGGGGCCAGTTGGGGCAAAGAAGAGGAGGCTAGGGATTCCAGGACCCAGCCATGTTCCATCCAGATGCCACGCCCCACTGGCCCCCTTCCTCCACACAGCCACTGCGCACCGCAGGAGGAAAGAAGAGATTCAACCACATTTCAGGAAAAGCCATCCCTCACCCAACATGAACACACATACCCACACTCCTCCCGAGGCTGTGGCTGAGGCATGTAGATCTGGGGGACAGAACCTTTGAGGACCTAACACCTGCCACCAAAACTAAGGGAAGAAGGGCTTCCACAGACAGAAGATTCCATGGCTTTCAAAGGCCTGATTGACTGCCATCAACATGGCCATCAACACCCTTTGGGGTAGGGGGTATCATTGTGGCCCCATTTCAGAGATGGGGCTGCCGAGGTTAGAGAAGTCCGGGGACATGCCCAAAGCCACAGTGAGTGGTAGAGTCTAGATCTGGCTCCCATATCTATTAGCTTGCCCTCATCCCCTCCCACCACACTTTCTCAACAACATCTATTGACAGAACAATGGCAACACCACGGGGCACTAGGTGCTCGTCTCTGTTCATCTGCTCCCTCCCCAGCCTGACACTGGGTCTGGGGTCCCTGTCCTCCCTCCCTAGGCATCTGTCCCTCTCACTGCAGTCACCCCCTCTGGCATGGTCCTCAAAGTGAGGTCCAGATACACAAGACCTTAGGAGGAACACGGTTTCACAGTTTAATACTTATGCCTTTATTTTCATAAAGATTAGGAAAACCCCACAGACCCAACCCAACCATTGATTTCATGGATCTCATTCCTCGGGACAGTAAAGAGAGAAGGTTTCCTTTTAAGTAAACTTATAAAGTTTCAAAGAGAGTTAAGGAAAAACATTTTGAGCTAATATGGTGCAGCAAGTCCCTGATCTGGAGGAAATCCTCGGAGATGGCCCTTGCTTGAGTGGGGCTGGGAACCCAGGGACCATCTTCATGAAGGCCTAGTCCCTGTCCTTGAGAAGCTTGGCAGCAGTCTGGGGTCCCAGGGAATGTGGCCGGAAAGGAGTTCCCTGAATAATCATCCAGGAGAAGAAGAAGCCGGAATGGGGGTCTAGACACCGGAGAGATAGCCCCAACCAGAGTCAGGGGGCTGCCTCCCATGACCCTTAACCTCTCTCTTCCACTTACCCTCAGCTCCTGTGGACATTTGCACTGAGCAGGAGGAAAACTTCCATGACCATAGCCCTCTCTTTGCCCAGGCAGGGGCGGATTCTGCCCACAGGCCTTGCTGCTGGAACCCCAGGCTTAGAGTCTGTCCCCAGCCCCGCCTGAGCCATAGGGACCTCCCTCATTGTGCGCAACAGCCAGACTCACAGTGCCCTCTAAGGGCTCTGGACACACACATGTGCAGAGGACAGGTCTCCGGTTCTTATGTCCCCTCACCCCTGCCCTTCTGCCCTCTGGGACCCAGAAGAGCTGCTCACCCCCATCCTTACCCTCCATGCCTACACCTCACCTCCTTCCCTGGCTCTTAACGGAACATCTCAGCAAGTTTGGGCTGGGGCAAACAGAGACCAGCAGGGACTGAGGGAGGTGCGGGGGGTCACACTGGTTAAAGGGGCAAGGCAGGACTGGCAAGGAGGTGTCCAGGCTGCTAGAGCGGGCTGTGCGTGGAGCGGGAGCAGCTGCGGGCTACAGACACGCTTTCTCAGCCCTATTTATGACTGCAGTCCCATGAATCTCACTGTGGGCAGTGGAGGCGGGTGGGGGGCTACCAGCATCTTGAATGGAGAGTAGAACCAGGACTGTCCCTGCCTTCTTGAGGTCAGGGCTCAGCCCTCACTGACGGAGGGAAGAGTCAGGGGTGAGGCAGGAGCTGGATTCTGGAGGTGGCAGAGAGAGGGGCAGGCAGGGGCAGGAGAGACAATCTGCTAACTCTGAGGGGCGGTGGGAAGGAAGGGCTTGGATCCGCAAAGCTCTAGCATCTCTTTAAGAACCTTCAAGTTCCTCAGCTTTATTTAACAAAGACAAAATAGCTAGGGAAAGGGGGGCAGGGGAAGAGGGGAGGTTCCTGCTCTGTGCTTGTCTCACTCCTTTCTGTAGGGCCCCAGGGGACTGGGATGACAGACCTGGGCTTCTGGGCTGTGGGGCCTTCCTGTTACCCTTAGGAGAAGGAGGCCCGTGGCACTCAGAGGACTCGGGCAAGAGCTTCTCTCATGAGTCACAGGTACTCAAGGTCAAGGAGGAAAAGAACCCCAGGCCAGAGACACCCTGGGTTTCAAGTCAGCTCCTTCCCTGCAGGACCCTGGATTAGGCATTCATTTCATTACTCTTCCCTCTCGGAGCCTGAGGGCACTAATCTGTAAAATGGGGATGTCCCCCTCTAAACCCTGCCCCTGTCTTACCCCAAGATGATGGAGGAGAGAGTGTGGTGTTTTGAATTAAAGGCATTCCTGGCACATGAGCTCCTGGATCCCAGCCGAACAGCCTTCCCAGTACCCCTGTGCCTGCTCCTGCTACCACCTAGTCCCCAGAGCAGCCCTGACCCTCCCCAGACTGAGCAGCCCAGTGCAAAGTGTCAGAGATCAATTCCAATCCAGCTAGCAGCAGGCTCTGGGCCCCCCCGGGCACTGAGCAGACCCATGCTTCCCGTTCAGTGGCAGGGGGCGGCGAGGGCTCCGGATGGGCAGGGGTCTTGATGGGGTGGTAAGGGGACAGATGGGACAGAGAGGCCTTGAGGGGGTAAGTGGGGTTGGGGGAATTGAAGGACCGTGAGCTGCAAAGGAAGGGCAGGGGTTCTCTGAGGGAAGGGGAAGGGTGGAGAGGCCTTGAAGGAGGAACCAAGCTGGGGTACACTGGGGAAGGGAGGTTGGGGCTGAAGGCGCCTGGGGGATGGAGGCTGGGGGAGCCAGAGAGAGAAGCTGGGATCAGGGGGGTTAGCACCAGATGTGCGAGGCTGATCATAATTGTTGAGTAGGAGATCCAAACCCCAGAGAAGATGCCCGAGACTGGTGCAATCCAGCTCAGAAAAAAGGGAAGGGAAAGTGGGGAAGGGGGCGGTCTGCCATCCTCAGCTCAGCCTTCCTAGCTTGGGCCAGGGGGAAGGGACACATACATGCCTGAGGCTGGGGTGACAGGTGGGGGTGGGCGCCCCCCAGTGGCCCGCCAAGGATAAAGGCGCAGGCGCTTGGGAAACAGCGACATTGTTTGTTCCGCCAGTTCCAAATTCCACCTTTATTTATGAGCCTGATTTATTTTTATCCTCCTCTGCATTCTTTTACATGAGATCACTGGAACTCATGATAAAAATGAAGATCCCCAAGTTTCAGTGACACCATCTCATTAGCCACCAAAGCCCACCCCCACCTCGTGTCTTTACCCCAGATGTCACCACTCTGTCCTCTGGCTGCCACTGGGCAACATTCACACATGACATCATCTTCAGAGGAAGGGAATGTGGAGAAGGGAGAAGAAGAAGAGGGGAGGGAGAGGGAAGAAGTGCAAGGAAGGGGAGGAAGTAGACAGAAGAAGGAAGATACAAGATCTAGAAAAGGTCTCTCTTTGGGGCCCTTGCTGTGAGGACCCCAAGCTTAAGACTCAGAGTATAGGTCCCTGTCTCCAGGTCTCCAGAGATCAGGAGGCTGGATGTGCCCTGAGAGGGCTCCCAGGTGTGCCCCATCCATCTCCTGGGCAGAGATGGGGGCTGGGCACCAGCTCAGGGAGCTCCCAGGTTCCC